AAGTCTGACAGAAAGACTTTGCTTATCTATTCCCACTTGAAACCCTAGAAATTCTGTTTGTATGGATAGTTCACTACTTGACTTTATTCTTTTAGGGGTGATTGTAACAGGAGTCTAATCACTGATCGACCACTTCTAAGACTTAAGGAGGCAGCATGATAAAGTGTGAGCAACTGCTGTCACTTGACTCCTTTTTATTACAAGAGAGGGGATGGCTTCCCTATAAAAGCCAGACAGCTGTACATGCCCCAGGTCCTACCAGCAGGAGGCAGAAACTCTGGAACACATTCTGTTTGCTGTGCCTATATTTAGCACAAGTACAGTATTCTACATCTACAGCAGGGCACAACAGCTCGTGTGGTGAGGAGGAGGGCAGGGTCCAGCAAAAGCAAACACTTCTGTGAGATCCAACATGAAATGTCAGAAGGGGAAACCTAGCCAATAAAACTGGCTAAACTCTGAGCCTAAAAATGTGATTATTTTGTTGTGCCTTCTACCAGATTATATCTGGTAGATTTTTTTCCTCTGTCTCATGTGAGACAAATCCCACCTTACCATGTGGCAGGATGATACAAACCAAGATATTCTGAGATTATAGAACTCTACTTGACGTAATTTGTTCAACTTCAAGGACTATTTTGCTGGAGTAACCCCACAACATATTTCAGTGCTGCAAGAGGTACTCTTCTTCAAGGTTGTAATGCCTCATGTATGATTTGCCTTATGGAACCTCAAGAAAGCTGACTGTTCCTACTTGCTCATTCCCTGTCACCACTAGAAACCCTCTTGCACCCACATGTGATGACAGGAGGTTGTAGGCTTAAACTTAAGTGGGATGCATAGGAACATGGTAAGATTAACACTTTCACAGATTCACTCCTTTCCTCAGAGACAGGGAGAACTGGAATATAGGACATGACCAACGTAGCCAGTTGTGTGGGTGGAAAGCTTAGCAACTGAATTAGCTCATATTGAACATTAATGTAACTTTTTCTTCTTTAAGAGCAGCCAGCCTGGTGGGGACATTGCTTCGTTTGGCCCAGTTTTTGTCAAGATTCTGGTGTTCCAAATTCAGGGCTGGGGGAGAAGAGAAGCCATTCTATTTAAAAAGTGGTGGATTGCACACAGTCCATGTCTCACAGGATTCAACAGTTATCAACCTTCCACCAACTCTGCCAAAGTACATCACAACTGCTGGTGAGCTTTGAGACCTAATGGCAATTGGCGCATTATTAGCAAAGGGGATGCGGCATCATACCTTGCCAGAGGCACAGAGTTGCTATTTGTGAATGATAAAATGTCCCAGTTTTTTAACTCCATACTCAGAAAATACCCAACACAGTTATTTACAGAGTCAGACAAACTTTAAGAATATACAAATAATTAAAAAGCATTTGTAAAACTGGGAGGAAAAAAAATCACAATCTAAAAAAGAAGACTCTTGTAACAAACAAAACAAAATAAAAAAGACCCCAATGAAAATGCTAGAAACCATCCCAAAAAGGAAGTATTTACATCAGGAGTTAGCAAGCATTTTTAACCCCACTCCCTGCCCACCCATTTTTTACAAATTCATGCAAGGACTAGAAAGAAGCTGCTCCAGAAAAGCTGATCAGGCCCAAGCTGGGGCATGGTTAAGCTGCCGCTATCTGTGTTGTGTTGTGTTCTTCAGACGAGGGCAAGGCCAGCCTTCAGCTGACTATACATGGAAGAACAGGAAGAGCCAGGCAGACCGTTATCTCTGTTTCCCTGGCTCAGTAAGGCGCTTGGTGGTGACACTGCAGCCTAGTTGCTACAAACCACTCATCTGCTAGTGGTTCACTGAAATACACAGTAGGGTGAAGACTGAGAACAAGGCCACGGATGAGATATCTGCATGGATCTTGCTGGCATGCCAAAAGGAAAACAGCTTGGCTGCTACAAACAAGATGCAGCACTGCTCTGGGATTAAAGCTAAACAACAGGCTACACTGAAAATCTTGCAAGCCCACGGCTCTGAAGGCAGGATCCCAATATTCTCAGTGCCACATTAATGTCCAAAGGCATGAGATTATCACAGGCTTGTTGCAGTTCCTGCAACTCCTTACTCCTCGTGCTTTTAGTCCATTGCCTCTTCTCAGTTTGACTTCCAACACTGCAGAACAGCCAACTATTATATCCCTTTAGATGTCCGTGCCTGCGGAAGCAATCACGTCCCAAGCACCCGGTTCCCTCCAATTAAAGTCATGTGCGAAGAGGATTGTGGAAGGCACGGGTACTTGTGCAAGCAACTATAATGAAAGTATCACAGGAATCAGATCTGAAAGAATCCTAACAAGGCAGTGTCACAGCCTCTCCATTAAACAGAACAGAGTCATTTATCTGTACCCAGCACAAGTGAGGCTGATTCTGAAGGCTTTTGGCAGCATTGCTTCTGATGTTTTGCAGCCCCTTTCAAAAGGGCTTCTATTACTTCCAGGTACAGATAGCAAGCAAGTCCACAGACTGGCATACAAGGACTGAAACAGCAGCTGCTGCTCTGCACCTGCAATCTCATAATCCAATAGGTATTTTTATCTTAGCTGATCTTCTGTCTGGCTCACCTGCTTCCTTACCTTCAAATTTAGAGAACACCAGTATTTAAAGCAACTCCTTTGAAAGGAGATCAAGTGCCTAGGTTACATTGGTTACCTTGCTTGTGGTTGGTCTGGGCTCAATATAGCCTGAGACTGTGTCAAAATAGAAAGAATAGTGGAGGAGACATTTTCGATTAGCAACCACCATGCTCAAGTTTAACCTAATGGTTTAATACATTCTGAAAATAAATGATGACAGCAGTGAGGGGGAGGCAGGAGAAAACTAAGCTTGCTTGAATAGTTGTAGGAATTCTCATTGTTTGTTTCTTGTAAAACAGTTCTATGTGTCTGACAAAATATATACACAGATTATTACACTCCAGTATTGCTCCAGCACAAACAGCTTGTGCAGGGAGCAATCAACCCTTTTGCCTGTTGGTGAATTGCTCCAGCCCAGCCCCCAAAAGTAATAGCCCTACAGCTGGTCCGAAAAGGTCCAGTTTGGGCTTGGCTGGAGAGCAATTCTCCGTTATGTTGTGTTATGCCAGGAAACAGATCACATCAGACCAGCCCATAACATGTCAAAATGTGATCTAGTTTTCCGTGTGATCACACTCTATATTAGTCATCTTGGACCACTATGATTATGACAACAGTTAAGCATAAAGCAGACAGGAGGAGAGCCATACACTGCTCATCAGATATGGTATAATAGCAGGTTAAGAGTATATTTTGACCCAATTTTGCTTTTCTTATTTTTAATCAAAGTTAGTGACACCCTGGACAGAATGACAGGCATACGAGTCTGTCCAATTTCTCCACATCTTTTTCTATGCCACTTTAGCTGCAATTCTGTGCATGCTTCATCAGAATGAAACATTACTGAATTCAGCTAGGCTTATTTCTGAAGAAAGACACAAACGCAGGGTAAAAGTGCAGATTCTCCCAAGGCATCTTCCTTGCTAGAAATGGCAACACAGATCTTTGACTACAAGTAGGAATATAACAGGTATGGGAGGCTGCAGGAAAGGCAGGTGCTTGTCACCGGACAACAAAATCACAAGTAGAGATGGGACAGGATTCCACCAGCATGGCCTTGATCTCTGTTTTTGTTTATAGTTTTCAAACAAGGTCTGTTCAGTTCTGACTGACATTATAAAATAAAAAGGTTGCGTGCATATTTTGTCATCAGTTTCTGCCTCTTAATAAAATATGCTTGAAAGTATGTGAACAGTGGGTTGAACTGGCATCTTTCTTCCTGCCTCCTTCATGTCTAGGAGTGGCACAATAAACTAGGCAAAATAAGCAAATACATTTAGCATAATTTGTATATTGCAAAATTCAACTTAGCTTCCTGGAGAATTTAGGTTTTCCTTTTCGTTCTATGTGTTCTTCAACTCTAAGGATGTCATCAGGTTGGCAGGAGGAATAGTTTTCCTGCTGGCAAGTTTTGACTTCAAAATAGGATATCATAGACATTTATTTATTGCCACAATGCCAAATTTACTAATTATTATTAAATTGAACTGGGAATTCCTGGATGTTATCACACAAACAAATTGAAAACATTATGTCACACTAGTGAGGAATGTAAACTAAAATAATAAACTGTGAAATATAAACTCAGCAATGTATTGAAAGTCAGCTAAAATTCACACATGTTCCAGAAGGGGGACCATCAAAGAAAATAGTTAATTGCAATAATATATGAATTTGAGAAGTTCCACCTTTTATATTCATTTAAGATTGCTGAAGCATCTCTCCAACCTCAGTAATGACAGAGGAAGAAAAAACTTAATATTCATTAATTAAGATGGGATATTTTAGTCCCCAAGGTCATGGTTTATCTTAGAATTCACACATAACTAGACCTACACGTACAATGCAGGTATTCCATGGTATTGTCATTTGCACAACTGTGAACAATGTACCACAAATATCAACCACCTGCCATGCAGGCTCTCCCTTATAAATAAAGATACATCTGTCACTAGTCATATCCCTAAATATCTACAGTGGTACCTTGCTAGACAGTTACCCCGCATGACAGTTTTTTCCCTAGACATTGACTTTTTGCGATCGCTATAGCGATTCGCAAAACAGTGATTCCTATGGGGGGATTTCACTGGACAGTGTTCGTCCCTGCTTCACAAACCGATTTTCGCTAGACAATGATTTTGACAGCTCCCTCTGCGCTCGCGAACAGGTGTTTTCGGGACCTAAGCTTCGCAAGGCAGCTATTTAAACAGCTGATCGGCGGTTCACAAAGCAGCTTTCCTATGGCTGATCTTCGCTAGATGACGATTCTTCCCCATTGGAATGCCTTAAACAGGTTTCAATGCATTCCAATAGGGAAATGCTTTTCGCTAGACAATGATTTTGCTAAACAGCGATTTCAGTGGAACAGATTATCATCATCTAGCGAGGCACCATTGTATTGATTTTTATTTTATTTATTTATTTATTTGATTTATATCCTGCTCCAATTGGCCAACAGAGACGGGGATTTTTCGCCTATCTGGACTAGGAGCGTTGGCTTTGCGAAGGTGGTAGCATTTGGTCACACGGGGCGGGTAGTGCGGATTCAAAGGTACTGGATATTGTTTTATGCCAGGGGGTAATTTTTTTCTCCTTGCTATCTGGACAAAATATTGTCACCGGCCATTTTTCATGCAAACCATGTTGTAGCAGAAATGTCACGCTCTGCTTTTAAGTAGGTTAACCCTCTTCAGGGGCAATTAAAATTTTCTCCTTTGAGAGAAACAACCAGTTCCCTGGCATTTACCAAGGTCAAGAAATGGTCCACAATACAAGTGTATGTGCTGGTTTGTTTAAGCGTTGTCAAGCTGCATTCAACTTATGGCAACCCTACAAAGGGTGTCAAGGGGTAGGAGATGTTTTCATGGAATTGTTTTTAGCAGTGCCACTCCCCGGTGACTTTCTATGACCAAACAGGGATTTGAACCCAGCTCTCCTGAATCCTAGTCCTTCCCACTATATCATGCTTGCTCTAAAGTGTTATTTTACCTTTTTTTTCATACCTAGCTTTTTCTGCCTCTTGGTGTTTAAGAAAAAAAAAATTCTTGAACATGCAAATATCTTCTGGACATGGTATATTTTTATGCCCTAAAATACACTGGAATTTTCACTGGTGTCAGAAGATTCCCCCACATCTTACAATTTTAAAAAATATCCTAATGCAGAAAATTTAATCTTCTTTACAGACTTAGGATAATAAGCTATTGTTTTGTAGTAACAATATTATCTAACATTCCAATATGGATCAGCCAGGTTGCTGCACTTCTACTCAGAAACATTCCTTCCTAACCCTCCTGAAGACTGATATACAAACTTTAAAAATCAACATGGTACAGTCCCTCCTGTGACTATACCATGTCAGAGTGGAGGTAAGGCATGAGGCTTGGTTACATACTCATGTCAAATATTCCCTGCTTATGAAAAGTTAACAGCTCCAGGAAAGTATTCCAATTTAGTCTTCTCCTCAACATTTTACATGTTCCATATGCTAGCAATTTTGAGTAGTGTTCTAAAAAAAAATTCATGGAGAAGCACGCAAGCTTCTAATCCCAAAACTCTATTCTCAAATAGCTGAGTCCTACAAGGATTCTCCCTTTGGAAAGATAGCGCCTAAGAAGCTAATGCTTGGGCCTGCTTGTGCTCTACAAAAGTGATATAGCTCCAGGTAATAAAATAGGCAGCGTCTGATGCTGAGGGGATCTGTTCCACGAGCATTTTCCGTTCCATAGGAGCGTGACTTAATGAGAAGCTAGAGTACAGGGTTGTTTTTCAAGTACTGCAAAAAACAGGAGAAGCATCAAGACTCCTTCATCCTCAAAATCCCTTAGCAGAAAAACAAGATTCAGGGAACAAAAAGAACCATTGCTGGAGCTGCTGAGGTTCTCTGTGTAAGCAGGCAATGCCACAAATTGGAAGCCAAAGATTCAACAAACTAAGAGGCACCTTTGTTCTGTGAGAGTATCACAGGAACCAACTGTTCAATAAATGGACCATGGTCTGCAACAAATGGAGATCATGACATAAGAGAAACCCTGTCCTGAGATGTGAAGCTGGCCCACAAGCCTCCCAGGGATTTGGAATGTTCAATACCACAGAACAGTGCCTCCTCCACCCATTCACTGTTTCCCTGGTGTTTTCTCTCTATTAGACCTGTGCTTGCATACCGCAGACATTTCCCCCTGAAATAATCATTCTTCCAGATGCCTGTTGGTCACTGAGACCCTGAGAATTCCAACAAAATAAACAACAGAAGTGATTTTCGTTAAGAACAGTTGTAGTTGTCCAAGGTGTGGTGGGGGCAGAGAGAAATAGAAATAAGACTGGGTTTGGTGACACAGAGTGTTTAGTACTCCCTTTCTGTGAACTCCCCAGGCTGAGCAGTACCCTGGCCAGCCAAGCACAGAAACAGAGGCTGATATAACAAAACAACAATTGTTCTAAGCTACAAAGATGACATCAGTGGCCTAAAAAGGAAAGCTCAGCTCTGTTTATACATTTTAGCAACTATGGGAAATTTGATGCACACAAACAGGAAGACAACACAGGCCACACTGGCCTGGCTGTTGTCTCTTGCACCTGGCCTGCACAAACGCAAGAAGGTGTTTGTTTTGCGCAGTGCCTTTGTTTCATCAACAGTTGACACCACTGCTTATTTCTATAGGACCATACTGCACGCCTAACTGCCGGGTAGCAGCCCAGGAGTGATGGCACAAGCTGGCTGCACATGTGGTAAAACCATCCATACAAACTTAGTGACAGAGCAGTCCTGTGGTGCTCCCGACCTATTTGTACACAACACCCTAAAGACTGGTATTATGACAGCATTTCATCAGCAAGACTTGAGAACAACTTCCAAGTCCTCTCTCTTGTTTGTACACCAACTCAGTATCTCATTATGGGAAACTCCTTTAGCAATGTTGGACTTAAAGAGTTCTTAAGGCTTTGAAATCAGCTCTCTGGTGTTTTTGTTTCCCTCAGATGAAGGCAGGCAGGCGAGCAGGCGCGGCTGAGCCGTTTCACATATACTTCCTCACACTCCCTCATCCCTCCCACTGTGGCGCTGGTTACAGCGGGAAGAGATGCATCTCCTCAGATTTGAAGTCTCTCTCTCTCTTTCACTCGTACATGCTCTCTTTCTCTCTTTTCCTCTCGCACGCACACACGCATGCATGCACACCCTCACACACTTCAGACCACAGATACAGCAAGACCACTTCACTAGACTTTGACAGTGTTCAGATATCATAGAACACATTCTTACTGAGGGCAGATGTAGGGGGTTGGGAAGGGTCTGGAAGGTTTCAGATGATAGGAAACCACACCTCTAGCTAAACTCCCACACTCTGCCCCCGGCTACATAGGTGAGCTTCTGTATTGCAGCTATCCTTGTTGAGCTTACACAAGACTGGCATTGCTGCATGATTACTGCCTCTGAGTATTTAACAGCAAAGACCCTCAGCTATGGTAGGCTCAGAAGTAGCCAGTCTTATAGGTGGCCAAGTGACAGGCAGTTCCTGGACAGAGTTGCTCTTCCACCTGCACAGCAGCAAGTGCAGACATCTCACTCACTCGGGGGCCCTGTTTTCTCTTCTGTCCGGTTGCCGTCAGAGGGATGCAACTTGCATTTGGAAGGGGAGTGACGGACAGCTGAGCGTGATGGGCGAGCGAAACAGGAGGTCAACGACTGGGAGCTGCAGTCACAGGCAACATCCTGCAAAAAAAGAAGAGTGGCATGATGACAAAGAAAAGGCATTGACAGAAGAGTGGAGCCTGATGCTGTTAAGAGTCAAAAGCACTGCACCAAAAACATCTCTTGGCAGAGAACAATTAGTAACACAACACTGATATTTACTTCTCTAGTGACCTGGCTACATCCTCAAATTCGCTCTGGTCTTCATAGTTCCGGAAGACTCCCATGTGTGCACACACTGACTGAGGTTTCCTACAGCATGGTGGCTAAGAACATGAACTGCCTTCCAATTTCTCCTCAGCCACAAAAGTTTTCGGTTGGGTGGCAGTACTTCTGACTAGATTACAAAAATGTTACAAATAAGGCAAGCTTTTGGATTCTCCAGAACTCACCATGCAAAGATGACAAAAGTAGTCAAAATAGATAAAAATGCTTAATTGCAAATTTTCAGTCATATTTGTCTGAGGAAGGTTTGTGAAGATATAAAAGGCTTCCCTTACCTCTAACCTTTCAATGACCCAATACAAGTATTAAAGAACCAAGAGTGCTTTACATGGTTATTTGTTATATATGTTGTCGGGAAGTCTCAGCAACCAGCTTCCTACAGAGTCTTACGGAATGCCACTATGCCCAAACCCATCCTGGCTCAGAATGTGCAATAAGAAGATAACAACATACCTATCCCACAGGGATGCTATGGTGATAATGTATTTGAACCGCTCTGATAGACTGAAATAAACATTAGCAACTCCTGCTATGGATATAATGCAATAAACACTCTTGGCTCAAATGCAGCTTGATATGCGATCTGCTTTACTTCATGACTTCCATGTCCTTTTAGTTTACAATTCATCAAAGACAATCTGCTTGCAATTTCATTACTAAAATACAAGAAAGCAGCTGAATGACTGCTGAGGTCAGCACTGCTTATTCTATACATAAGTCCTGATTTGAACGCAGAAATGGTAGGGTCTATGACATGCTCAATAAGTCCTGTTGCTTTTGTACAGTCAAAATGGACCACTCTCCTTGGATCTTCTTTATTTGGCAACCAAGACTTTTATATGTGGGCAGTAGCAAAACCCCCAAATGGTGGAGACTAGAGATGGAGATATCCGTATTTGTAAACTAATATGAATATTCTCATTGGAAGTGTATTTAATGTGAGTCCAGCTCTCAGTGCCAGCCCGTCTACTCACATGCCAATGCACAGCCAGCCTCCCGCTCTTTTTTTGCCAACCATGGAAGTAGCTCTGCTGTCTTCTGGCTCGGCTGGCCACTCAGCAGCCATGTGGGGAGACTTGTCCTCCTGCCTCCTGCCTGGAGTGGCTAGCCAAGCCAGGAGATGGCAGAGCTACTTCTGTGATTGCCGCAGTGCAGCAGCGCATGAGTGGACAGGCCAGTTCCGAGGGCTGGACCCACATTAGGTGCAGCGCATGAGTGGACAGACCAGTTCCAAAGGCTGGACCCACATTAGGTGCACCTAGGATGGGGATATTCATATTTGTTTATGAAAACAAATATCTCCATCTCTAGTGGAAACTAGCAACATCCTTACCTCCGAACCATCCAAAATTCAGAAGATGGAAGATGTGCAAGGGTCATAGGAAGAGCCTGGGGGAAGGGATACCAGGTGTTCTCTGTTTCTAGGGTTCCTATGTTATGTCTTAAAACTTAATAAACAAATGAACATTACCTCATTGGCAATAGTCGCAGAGATGACATCTAGATCTTTGAAGGGTCTCTCCTTGCCACTTTGACATGGGATGGACAGCTTTGGTTCCTCGCTGCAGCTCTGCTTTGAAGGTTTTTTGTCAAGGACCTTGGAAGTGTTTTCAGATGGATGGAGCACAGCTGCAGAGGAATGATCTGGCTTCTTGCTGCTGCTGCTTTCTCCTGCTACTGAGTCTTTCTTCTCAGGAGGCAAAGTTGGGCTCTGAGTTCTGCCACACACATTCCGGAAAAACTCTTGCACAATCCCATACTTGGGTGCTTCCGATTTGACTTTGCTTTCCTGACATCCAGGCTTCCAGATGGACTCTGTGCTCCCAGAATGCTCCACAACGTTGAACAAGCTGGACAGGCCATCGTTAATGTTGCTGAGAACAGGACTGTCTCTGGTTGTAGTGGAGCGAGCCCAGGCAGACCCATTTTGCTTACTCTGATGGAGGTTCCAGAGGCTTCGATCTTTTGAGTTATCCAGCTTAGAAGATGATCTTCTTTGCAGTTTGGGGGAGCCATACTTTGGGGAGCAACAAGGGCGTTCAATCCTGGAGTGTACTTTGTCTAGTGATGTTGAGATCTGCTTGCTCCGCACAGACATAAGGGAGGAGCTTCGTGGGGACCAGCTCTTGCTACTGTGGATGCTGCCTCTGGGCATATCTGTCTGCAAACCAATGCTAACAGTCTGGATAGTCTGAGTACCAATGCTGGTCAACCCAACTGTTTGGCTAGAAGTGCTCTTAACCTTTCTTTCCAGAGAGCTGGAGCGGATAGCTTGCCGGACACAGTTGGTGATCTCCTTCATGTCATCACTCATGTTACCAGAGATTTCAAGGTTATGCAGGGAAGGTGGAAATCTGGGGACGGGGGCAACTACTTTCTCGCTAACGGTACCACTATCAAGCAGTTCTCGGTGCTGCTTAGAGAAGTTGCACAGCCACTGGCTGTACGTGCTTTCTGAGTTGTCTGACTCCTCCTTGGGCTTAGCCATTGTGAACAGGAAACCAGGTTCAACCATTATTTTCCCCTCTCTGTTGTGGACCAGGGGTGCTTCCAGCCTGCGTACCACTGGTGGGCTGTAGTATATGCGGATCCCAGTCTTGTCTGGGGCTGTGTGGCTCCTCTGCATATGTTTCTGGGTCTGGTCCTGCACAGAGAAGCTGCTCATTTGGGTGCAGTCACATGCAGAGTCACCCAACTTCTCTGCGACCAGGCTTTCAGATGAAGGTTGCTCACTATTCACATAGGCACAGTTCTTGGAGGTGAGTCCTGCAGAATCCTTTAAAGCATCAGGCAACACCTGTGACGCTGAAGGCCCTTTTTTACTGCAAGCATTGTCTGTGATCACAGGACTGGTTTTGCCAGGAAGGTATGGAGAACAGTCAAGCAAGCTTTCGAATTCAGACATTGAGGAAACGGACTTTGTCCTGGATGGGAAAGAGAAGGGAATGACTACACCTTACACGGAGGAATATTGCTTAGACTGCTTTTTAGCATTGTCCTTTCTAAGCAGAAAGTTTTTTCTCAACTGGGCTATATCTATTTTATTGCATCAGAACCACTTCTCGTGTTATTTTCTTATTTGTCTCTTAAGATGTCTGGGGGAAAAGGGAATAATGACAGGGAACGTATGCCTTCATTGATGTCAGATGGACAAAGGATAAATTGAGGCAAGGGATTTGTGGACCAGTTTCTGCTATTTTTCAAGTTCAGTACACCAAACATACATCTCCATATTTTTATATCCTTCATTATCCATCAAAACATGAGCAGGAAAACTAATGTTACAAATATGAACCTAAGTGCCATTGTTTGCTATGCTAAAAGATAAGTGGGAGCAACTTTTAGTTGAGTACATTGCATGTTCATTTACAATGCAAGGAGTTTGAGTCATGTTAATGAATCAGTGGCTGATATCCTTAGTGGCTGATATCCAGTAGTAAGTCACAACCAGAGCAGCCCATTGAATCAGTGGGGATATGGGGAATCAAGATTTATGTAAGTTCCACTGATTCAATGAGCCTGCTCTAGTTGTGACTTACCGTGGATTTCAGTTCATGTATGGAACTGGACTAAACAACCCTGGAGTGCAAGGATGAAATACTTTGTATGGGGTGCATACAAAAGATCTCAGCCTCAGTCCTGGACTCTCATCACTCCGGATGGCTATGCCTCCGTGCATGCCTGTGGAGCTCCCAGCTAGAGAAGTTGCTCTACTCCATGCAGTATAAAGAGGGAAAAATGTCTATTTTGCATGAAGAAACCAGTGCAATTGGAGTAAGCAAAGTACACCTCTTCATATGTTGCTAGACTGCAATTCCCATCAGCTTTAGACAGTGTAGGCAGCGGCCAAGAACTTAGGGAGTATCCTTTTGCTCAGACTTGGTTTAGATTGATTTGTTACACTTCTCAAAATTTCCCTAAATATTCAGCTACATGAGACACAATGAAAACTAGTGGCACCATTAAACAGCAAGCTTGTGGCACTTAAAAAACAGTCTCATTACCAAGTTAACCTGTTTTAGCCTGCCCAGCATGACCAACCTAAGGAATATGGACAGCCTCTCCCCCATTTTCTAAGCTGGAAAGCTTAGTCTCTTTGATTAAGAAGATCAAATAGTTGCATGATGACTGTAGGCTACACATTGAAACTAGCTGACAGCATTGCTTGAAGCAGTGGTTCCCAACCTTGGGTAACCAAGGTGTTCTTGGATTGCAACTCCTAGAAACCTCAGCCAGCACAGCTGGTGGTGAAGACTTCTGAGAGTTGCATTCCAAGAACACTTAGGTCACCCAAGGTTGGGAACCAATATTGGGCCTAAAGCCTGGCAAACTGTGCAGTCTGGACCAAATGGGAACAATCTACTATCGTCTCACCAGATATTTACACATGCCTGAAGCCTTTCTTCAAGAGAAGGAAGGGTTCCCCCCAGTTATGGCCCTCTTGTTCTGGAATGCTTGCCTGCACTTACACCATCATCTTTTCAAGTCCCAGGTAATCTGTTTCCACTATCTCAAGCATTTTTCGTATGTCAGTACTTTCTGTATTTTATACCTACTATGTTAAGCCCTGCAATGCTGTTCAACTCTTCTACTGGCTGCAATCTTGTTGCATAGTGTAGTAAGTTACAACTAGAGTAGGCCCATTAGAATCAATGGCACTTACAGAGAAATTGATTCACCAGTTCCCCACTGACTCCATGAGCCTCCTACCCTAGTGTGACTTGCTAGGCTAAGCAACAGGATTTCAGCCACTAAATGGTTTCAGCATGTGCAAATTTTAGTTTATGTACCCATATTTTATGTTATATCAGTGTATGTCTAATGGTTTTTACAATATATTGGATTTTAAATGTTTTATTGTGATTCTCTCTTATTATTTCACTTCATTATGTACTGTTATTGCATTATGCCAAATTGAATTGTACAGCAGGGCAAGGAATCTACTTTATGAGACACTGAATAAACACTGTAAATAATGCTATATTCAGAACAGAACTGGGTATGCCACATTCTCTGTGGCATCAGAAAAAAGCCTAGCATAACACAGGAGGAGCCACATCCTCATTCCGTTCCATGAAATGGGAGTGCTCTCTCCTTGATTGTGCTGTGTAGGTACAGCAAGAATCTATTTTAAGATACACAATGAGGAGTTGAAGAAAGGAACAAAGCATATAAGCTGGTGTCATGCTTTGCAGGAACCTAGCATGCATCTCACCTTTTCAAATTACTTCCCTTCATGTCCATTTCAGAAACAGTTTCTTTGTCAGTGATTTTCTCATTCAGAGTCTGAAAAAACATCAGATAGGCCTTCATCATCAGCTGTTTTCCAAAACATTATGGCAAGATCGCAGATAAAGAGATAGGGTGCCATGGTTAAAAGAACTAGATAGTTATTAGCACAAGATGGCCCACATCCCTTCCAGCTTCTGACCCTTCCAATAATAATCATCTGAACTAAAGAAAGTTTAACTAGATCCTGGAATTTATAACGCTTGCCAAACCTGTGAGCACTTAGCAAATACAAAGAAAGGGCATAGAAACTCTACACATGCTTGTTAAATTCTCAATCCCATCAGCCTCAGAGAGCATAGCCAGTGGTCCAACATTCAGAGGCCCACATGCTCTCCATCCCTGCCACAGGGTTAAGCAATTCATAGGGTTTCTGTATTTGGGAGAGTTTAGCCTTCTATTATTAAAATTTAATCCAGGGTCAAGAGTAACATTACACTGTTCAAACAGTTACATGGATTAAAAAACACAACTGCAACAGCAACAACAACAAAGCAAGGGTAAAGGCTCCAATCTAGCTTGGGATAATAATAGTGGTAATAATGTGTTTTACTACTTCAGTTCCCTTCCCAAACTAAGACACCCATCCTCAGGCACCACTTGTACAGCATTGTGAGGAATGTCCCATTGATTCTGGTCTTTCATACATGATAATCAAGTTCCCACTGCATCTTCAGGAAAGAGGAACCACGATATCTATGTGACCAGAATTTTCTCAACAAAAAGCCATGTGGCAGACACATTCAGTATGTAGTAAATTCCATGGCACAACACTACTGCAATACAAAAAGCTACACCTCCTGATTTTCTGTCTGCCACGTAGTTGTCAAAACCAAGGAAGCTCCTTTTAGGGATATACATCCCTAAACTACTCGTCACAGATAGTAATGTTTTAGAAAGTGTCTGCTTGCATAAGATTAACAGCACACATTAAGCACACGGCTCACAGAATCAGATCCACTAAAGTCCTGGGCCCAAGAAAAGCTAGTCAAAGGCTTCTGCAAGGCTCACAAGCATAGCAAGCAGCCATTACATCCCACATGTCTCCACTTAATCCTGCTAGGATATGATTTCATTTCAGGCCCAACTTTGGTCATCCTTGTCTCAGTCATGCAGATTAGGATGAGGTGATTTTTGTCCAGCTTACTTCTTTCCAGCTACTGCTGTGTTTCTCTATTTCAGAGTTTTTCAAAGGCCATCGGTCAATTCCCTTCTGCAGCTGGAAGACAGCAAAGAAAAAGGAAGACATTATTCAAGCACTTAGCTAACACAAAAGAGCCTATTTTCCTTGGCATGTCACCAGTGTAGACAGTACCCTTATTTATCTCTGTGTCTAGGAACCTATTGCAAAGTTCACTGCCTGCAGGGACCTCCCACTGACATAGTAACATCAGATGAATATTGGTTATCCCATACTGGACCTATGTACTTCTAGCAGATGTGCTGTTCTAAAAATCAATCTCCATTACAAAAACTGGGACTTACTGGGGATGTCTAACTTAGGATCCATTTTGACAGAAACATGCTAAGGACAAGTCAATAGAATATTAATTGCTGGTAAAAGAATGCATTAAGTGTGCCATTGGGAAGAAGCTGGACCTATCCAACCATTGGTAATCATGGAAAACTTATAGAGGTTGCAGTGGCTTTCCTGGAACATCTCATTTTATTTGCATGCCTCAGATATAAACCACCAAGTTGCAAAACATTTCCTTTTTCCTGATGTTTCAAGTGAGAGATTCCTTTTCAGGCGATGGCACAGATTGCCATTATCAGAGAAAACATAGTTAGACAGCAAGCATCTGCAACTCAAAGCAGTGTTGCTCTGAAAAATGAATAGGCTTAGGGACTGCCAGCAACATGATAGGACATGGCACTTTTCTTCTTCTGTAGGGTATACCTTGATTTGCTTTTTGGGTTGCTTTTTCTGCTCTGATTCTTTGCTTGGCGGGATACCTAGCCAGGTTCACTTGAACCTCTTAATGCACAAAACAACCCTCTCCTCAGAACCATATAGTAGAGGAGGTTAGCCTGGGGCAAGGGAGAGAGAGAGAGAGAGCAGCCAAAAGTCACCCAGTGAACCTCAAGGCTAAGTATGGATTTAAAGGCTCAAGTGACAAATCTGACATTCTGTCAAATCCAATTCTCCTGCATCCATATATAAGTCTGCATTCATACACTGACACTGACATATTTATAGCTGATAGCCTGTATTGCTTCTGGTAAAAGTAATCAATATTCACACCTGCTAAATTAGCAGGATTTATATTTAAGATGCCTGATGCACGCTCTGTTCCAACCTGGTTGATTTTGTTCTGTAGCTCCCGCACTTGCTGCTCTGCCTGTTGCTGCTCATCCTTGAAACGGGCCAGGAGCTCCAGCTTTTCCTGGTTCCAGTTCTTCTCACTGATCTGCAGCTGCTTAGTCAGATCCATGACTGCGCTATACGATTCTGCGAGGAGGTGCTGATGCTCTTCTCGCTCCCTCTTCAGAGCTGTTTTCCAGTCAGAGAGGGCTCTCTCTGCCAGACCTTTCCCAGTCTTAGATTCAAGCTGTGGGGAAAAAACAAGAGTTGACCATATCAAGAACCCAGTTATACCAAAGGAATCAGCTCCTTTGTTGGTAGGTCTGAGCTTCCTCATTTTGAAGTTGAGGAAAACCTGAGAGGGGAAATGGCCCACTGCTCATTTCATTCCCTACCATGGAGGTGAGGAACCTTTGTCAGTCTAGTATTATTGAATTACACCTCCCTTGAGTCTTTATCTTTGATATGGTACCTGCGTGAGGCCCTGTTTGAAAGCTTCTAGAATTGAAAGCTTGCTCACTGTGGCTCCACTGTCTCCTTGCACCTGCATTGGCACATTCCACAGTTGCCTCCTCAGTTCCTGATTGCCACACGAGGTAGTTCCAACTGGCTGTGACCATGGGGAGATGGGCAGTTTGTGTGAGTTTCACAGATGATCAGTTGAAGAACAAAAGTTGCAGGTAAGCAACCTGTCCTTCCTTATTGTGGTCTCTATGACTCACAAATGTGGGTGAATGACAAGCTGTTCTTATTGGTGGAGGGCGTCACACCAGGACTGCATAGTATAGTTCTACTGAAGGCTGCATCTCTGGAAGCTCAGGTATCAGTTCTGCAGTGAATGATGAAAGTCATCGACTTAGACCACATAGCGGCTTTGCGAATTTCGGGGGGGGGGGAATGCCCCACAGGAAAGCCATGTAAGTTGCCATAACTCTTGATAAGTACACACTTATCTTGGAGTTGATAAGCTAGCTTGACAGTAGCCACAACCCATTTGGCTAATCTTTGTGATGATACAGGTTGCTGTTTCCTTGGCACTTGATAGCAGATAAATAACCTCAGTGTCATACAAATAGGGCAGGTTTGTGAGATGTAGAATGAGAGTGCCCAGCAAGCATCTAGCATGTGCAGAGTCCGCTCAAGAGGCATGGCAAAAGAGACTTGGAAGGCAGGTAGTATCACAGGTTGGTTAAGATAGTAATGCAGTGGTCCCCAACCTTGGGCCTCCAGATGTTCTTGGACTTCAACTCCCAGAAATCCTGGCCAGCAGAGGTGGTGGTGAAGGGTTCTGGGAGTTGTAGTTCAAGAACATCTGGAGGCCCAAGGTTGGGGACCACTGTAGTAACGGAAGAAGACCATGGGTAAGACAGTGAGTTTGGTACAGAGAACAACCTAATCTGGGTGGAATCTAGTAAATGGCGGCATAGGTTTCACTGGGTCAACACAATCAAGATGGTATTTGGGCCATCACTCCTGAGTTTGATCTGGTCTTTGTGGAGAAGCACAAATTGGGGTAACATGTAAAGAAATATTTTCTTCCAGGTGAAAAGAAAAGGACTGCTGAGGGAGTGTTCCCTCTGCTTGTTCTGGAGTAGAACAGGGGATACTTGTTTTACTGAGATATAAACAGATTCACTTGGGGTACTCCCTATTGGTGAACATATGGGTGGGGATGAGGCATTGGGTGGTTGGGGGATTGATGAGATGATTGAAGCATCAGCAGGGAATCAAACTCCTAACCTCTGTCTCTGTAGCCAGATACCTAAACAGGGAATCGAACTCCTAACTTCTGTCTCTGTAGCCAGATACTTAAAGCACTGAGGTATCCATGTAGAATCATAGAATAATTGAGCTGGAAGGGGCCATTGAGTCCAAACCCCTGCTCAGTGCAGGAATCCAAGTCAAAACAGATCTGGCAGGCGATTGTCCAATTTTCTTTTGAATGCCTCCGAACTCCTAACTTCTGTCTCTGTAGCCAGATACTTAAAGCACTGAGGTATCCATGTAGAATCATAGAATAATTGAGCTGGAAGGGGCCATTGAGTCCAAACCCCTGCTCAGTGCAGGAATCCAAGTCAAAACAGATCTGGCAGGTCGATTGTCCAATTTCTTTTGAATGCCTCGAGTGTTGGAGTGCCCATAACTTTCTAAGGTAATTGGTTCCATTGGTTTCCTGATATTTAGCCTAAATGTGTCTTCCTGTGACTTGAGCCCATTGTTACGTATCTTGAACACTGGGATGACTGAGAACAGATCCTGCCCCTCCTCTGTATGACTACCAAAATTCTTGGTAGATAGGACACTGGATATTTTTGTGGACCTCTTCCAGACAACAAAGATACCCATGGTTATCAACATGGGAGACCTTTCTGCTCCAGGCAGCACATATCTTAAAGAGGCCAACTGGGGCCATGTAAGTCCAGAGGGAAGAGGAGGAACACAAAAAACAAAAGGACGAACCATGTGAGAGAGATGAAAACTATTTACATGAAGTAGAGAAGGTAATTTTTCTTTCATCTCACAAGCTCCTGCTCTTGGTGTGGAAATAAATAAATGGACGAGGCAACCATGAAGTGCACCAATTCAGGGAGGGGGTCAGAGAGATAGAGAAAGTGAGAGAGCGCACTTTTGATTCTAGAAGTTTCTGAAGAGGGCTTTGGGTCGTTGCTCTGAAAGGCCCAAATGAGGCTCTGAACCCTAACTAGGTCTAACACTGCATAGTTTCCTATTAAGAAAGAAAGCCCCAGCTAGCATTGGAACAGGAACAGAAAGGTTGGGCAGAGCCCAAGTAGCTTCTTGGACTTTGTAATCCAAAAACCTCACTTTTCCAAACTCTGTGGAAGACAGAGCCTACCAGAAACAATAAATTAGCAGAATTGTTTATCTCTATGTAACAGTGTCCATGAGCACAATTATCATACCCTTTTACCTTCTGCAGCTCCCACTGATAACACAGTGCAAAGAGAGCCCTTGTTTCTGAAGGATGCCATGCTCAGAAAAGTAGCAAATTAGCTTTCTCTATAACAGTAAATATCTCATAGAAGAAAAGCAGAAGCAGCATAATATTTGAAGCTCTTTGGACTATCGGCAGTGCAGCAGCCAGAACAACAGAGTAATACACAGTGGTACTATTGTCCTTGTAACAAGCATTCCAGTAAAAGGTACCAATGTCAACAATTCATAATTTCCAAATGGGAAATTGTTGTCATTGATAAAAGACTGAACTATGAGAGGAAATAGGTTTCGGAATAAATGCTGCCTCACAAAGTTAGCCTGCACCTAAACATTGGGTACAATGGGCTCAAGAACAGAAAATAACTTCCCTTTGGGACAAGTTAAGCCGAAACATCTTAACTCTCATCAAGTGAGTTCTTGTAATCATTTTACAATCAGAAACACACACAGGAATTCTGGTCATGGAGATGTCAAGTGAAGCACCAACAAATCTTTGAATATGATAGAGATGAGTTAGCAACCTTTGCCAAAACCACTTAGGAGTGTCTTGTAGGAGACTAAAATTCTACATGTTCATGATGAGCAAGTCTATTGCATAATTTGCTATTTGGAAAGATTAATAATAAAGGACGGGAGAATCCTGAGGGTTAATAGTCTTAAGTACTGTCCACCCATTGCTCCGTTTGTGTAAGATTGGGCAGCCACAACAGAGATAACAGCAAAAAAATTGCAAGGGAAGAACCTTTCAAAGCCTTTTTGTTTAAAATCTGGAATGCTTCTACATCTTCACTAGGGAGAGGGTGGGGGTCTGAGTAGAGAAGCAAGTTGAACACAGGGCTCAGTAAGAAACAGGCCACGGCATTGCAGCTTCGACAACAGCCCCAGAGAACACTGAGCTAATTCCAGAAGTCCCAATTCCCAGGCCCCCCCTGGAACCTGACAGCTCAGACAGCTGAAGAGGAAATGATTATTCTAATCAGAGAATAATTGGACATGTTTGCTGTGTTTATGCATAACAGCAGCTCGGTGCAGATGCCATTCTGGGTGAATAAAGAGATAATGGGCATCTGGGGGAATCCACAGAAGATCTAATAATGGCATCTCCAGAGCAAAATGCCAGCAAGTGGGTTATTAGTTGAGACTTCATCATTATAGTCTTAATGTATCTTCATGCAGCTGTTGAAATGAGGCTGTGGTTGAATAGAAGTAGCTTCTGTTTAAAATGTTCCACCCATGGCAGCTACCTACTTGTATTAAGTCATCTATAGTTCCAACTCCCCCTGCCCATCCAATCAATGGTAGGGCAAGGCTGGAGGGCTTTATCAAAACGTGGAAATTTTAGAGCAGTTTTTTTTCAATGTTCACTTGAACAATCATCATAATTCCCACTCAAGACCTGTTCACGTAAGCAGATAATGCAAAAGGAGTAGTTTGTTGCAGCAAAACCAGCAAAAGGTCTTAAGGAGCTTTATTTGGCATAATCTTTCACAGACTACAGCCCACTTCTGCATTTTAAGAAGCAGCCCATAGTCAGAGAGCTCACATCAGATAGCAATATTTACTCAAAAGCAAAAAGGCCTGTGACACGTGTAAGATTTTATTTTTTTTAAAAAGAACTAGGATGCTATTATTCTTATCCTGCAGACTCAACCATGCGCACTGCATAGGTGAGGTGCCAGGCCGCACTGCCTACCATCAAATGCCAGTGAAAGATGAAATGATGCTAGCATTAAAAGATCAGAAACGTCCCTGAAGGCAAGGCTAGCACACATTCTCCATATATAGACTTCCTTGTGGGGAAAATGGGTCAAATCTGTTAGAGTGGGGGGGTGAGAGAGGGCAGAAAATCGTAAGCTCGCTGCCTGCTTTGCTGTCACATAATTGGTTCCTATCTCTGAAGGTCCTCACTTGTCGTTTTTGTTTGATCAGCACAACAGATGGATAAATTATGAATCATCTCTGATATACATGCCTATACAATATTCATGCAAGCAAGGAATTTCATGTGAACAGTGTAACTGCTGACAAAAGACTCTTCAGCCCTTACAGTCAGGGGAGGGGGTGGGATCTTGAGGAAAAGAAAATATTGGATTGTGGAAGTTCCTGCTCTTGCATCATCTGAGAGCAAACTTTTCTAGGACTCTGCTTTTAAATGGACAAGTATCTATCTTCACTCCATTATTCTGACTTTTGCTTCTGGTTATTGTTGACCATATCTTATAGCTCACCATTCTAAAAATTTGTAAACCATTCTGAAATAGCTTTCCCTAAAAAAGTGGTCTAAATTGGTTCACAACCATCACCTATTCACTCTAGCCTATAAGCTTCACATTCACTAAAACAGATGTAATTGCTATCCTATTCTTGGAAGATATATTTAATGTCTACAGCACCTTGCCTAATGCAGAGCATGTACATTTTCAGTGCTAGAAACCCCAAGACTGCTGCTACGTTTCTCTAGATCACTTTAGCAGGAACAAAGTATTGATCCTCATGACCCTGTAAAAGGACAATGAGCTGTTATTTGCCTCTTAACACACATACTTCTCTAGAGAACCAGGATGTGATACAAATAACACTCTACATCTACTTTTCATGTTAACCAAAAGGGAGGGGAGAGAATGAATCAATAAAATGGGTGAAATGACCCATCTTTAATTGGTGCCATTAAGATTCTGATTATGTCAGACATTTAGGTTAAAATAGCAACAGCTTAAGCGCTGCACTCAAGTGTTTCATGTGGTATTGAAAACTTGGCTCGCTATAAGAGCAGTATTTATAGGCAAGATCAGTTGGTGTTGGAAGGCAAGGTGCAGCCAAGTATGTTCTTTCCTCTTTGGGAAAGTCCAGAGCACAGCCAGAATTTGAACTGCTACACAGATGGGACAGCCTTTGCCCTACCTAATGGGACAGATCATCAATGCCAAGCTATGTCGGCACTAGGTAAACCTGCAAGATCAGTCATCTTGATGGAAGCTTGGCATACACTATGAAACAGAATGAAAACTGGGATCAACCAGTTTGGGGTACTGAAGATATGAACCACCCAAAAAAAGCCCTCAAATTCATTTTAAATCATCAGTATGTTTCTCACTTTCCGAGATGAGAGGAGTGGTGACAAAAGGAGGGCTTCTTAGTAGTGACCTAGTGGTGACCTCCTTCCCACCTTTCTACTGTGCAATGTTCTGCCTGTGTAACTTTGATTTCAACCTTTACACATTAGGTTAAAAGTGCACTGATTTCTCAAGTCTTAAATTAAACCATTTTATACTCAGCTGCTCCTTTCATGTTCTTTATTCTGTTAAATGGACGCATTAACATTTTAACCTACTGTGATACCAAGATGTATCCTCCTGTCTTGCTAATGTGAAGACCTTCCTTCATTTTTCCTTGCTCCAAGACTACAAGAGGGCTCTGCCTTGCACAAGACAACTGGAAGATCTGCTGAGGAGCCAAGCCAGGCTCTTTATCTGCAGCAAGGGGTCACTGCAGAATGGTACCTTTGTCACCTATGAGTTTTGGGAAATCTACCCTAAAACTCAGTTTCAACCATAGGCATCACATGTGGCCCGATTTTTGAACTATTTGCTTTAAGCAGCAAGTTTTTTAACCATCTTTATGTGAGGAAGAATTCCAGAGAACTGAAAAGATCTTATTAACTCCTCAGTGACCCAGTAAATGTACCACCCAACTTTGGACTTTGTTTTTATGACTAGGCAAGGGTTTTATGGGGGGGGGGAGACACGTCAAAAGTTCCTTGTCCAAGATTCTCAAAAAGCTGACAGGGTGTCCCAAGACACTACTTATCAACTGCTTTCTTCCTAGACTAACTTTCCTGAAAGTTCCCAAATCTGTGCCTCCAGATGTGTTTGACTACAACTCCCATCACCTCCCCCCCGGTCTGCACATCTAATGTTGTGTAGTCCAGATCTGGAGTGCATTCCCTCAGAGAGGCTGAACTAGACAAACAAGGCATCATGTTTTATTTTGATCTCAAAAGTTTTATTTTTCCTTTAGCAGCTGGAATTCATGGGATTTCTTTCATGCTTTGCTAAGTACGGTTTATGGTTAAGATCTAGATAACAGTGGCTGGAATTCAGTAGTAAACTGCAACTAGAGTAGGCCTATTGATTCAGTGGAGTTTACATAGCTACTGTCTCATTGAATCCCCACTGATTCAATGGGACAAACTCTAATTGCAACTTGCTACTGGATTTCAGCCATTGTTTACTATAAGGGCAGAGTATTTGGTGGTACTGCTGGACAGCTGATACAAAACTGAAAATGTTATTTGCATAGCACGATGGGAATTTGTCTGTCCTAAGTTATTTTGGAGAGAGAGAAGGGGAGGTGACTCAGCAATTCACATGGGTAATTAGGAAGTTACTGTTCACTTTAGCCACAGACCAGCCAGGATGTAGACATAGTTGTCTCATTTCCCTTCTCTAACTCATAACACTCTTTAGAAAGCTTCTGTATAAGCAGCCTGTACCTACAGGCATGGACCTACATGTATAGAGGCAGACAAGTAAAAAAATATGCTCTGTAATATACAGGTGATAGTTTTACAGACATATGTTCCAATATAGATCTGGGAAAATATTCTTACACCCCAAAATGAGTAGGTTGCCAAATTATGAAAACACCACCTGTGTTTCCTATTCAAAAAGGAAAACATACCCAGCTTAAGGACACAAGAGTTTAGAAATAAAACAGAAGAAGGAAGGCACATTTAAAAATGACACACTCTCCTCCCTTCCTGCTTTGCTTTTACCAAAAGATAACCAAATATTGTAAAGACTGGGAAGTTGTACTAAATTTTCAGCACTGCCAATTAGGGCGGCTGCTGGAGATGCTATCTAGGAGGTTCTGGTGGCTGTTAATTTTTATGTACCCTGCAGATAACTAACTCTCAACAGCAAGAAACAGCCTGTCAAATTGTTACAAGGTGCCTTAGACAATGCCCTTGCATGTGCTCTTTTGCAGAACATTTTACAAAAAAAGTAATAACATGCATTCCTGCACTAACCAGACTAATTTTAGACACCTGGCATCTTTTGATACTTTTAATTAGTTAAGGCTATTGCCTTAGAAACAAAACAAAAAAAGATGAGGAAAAAGAAACAAGGGGTGTCTACATGCCTCTGTGCTTCATGCAAGCATACTGAAATTCTTGGCTGTCGAGGAAGCAGCCAACAAAAGAATGAAATCTGCTACAGATATCCTCACAAAAGTCAGTTTGCACCCAGGGCCTGTCATATTGTCAAGGGCAAGGTCTTTAGCCACTCCTTTGAACATGTGTCTATGGGTTTCCTCATAAGCATCAACTGAGAAAGAGCATTAGAATATACACAAGGAAAGTTGCAGGGCTGGCTTATAATAGTTCTGGTGTGATCCTGGCTAGCAAAAGACCTTTCTTGCTGAATAGATAAGACATACAGTGAGGGTTGAGGAAAAATATCAATACAAGAGGAGAGCATTCTCAGCCATTTCTGGATGGTCTTGTGTATGTACCACCCATACCACCATGATATAAGAGCCAAATAGACATTGAAAGAGGAATACAGCACACTCATGTTTTTATTCTTCTTTCTTTTAAATTAGAGAACCTTAATACATGACAGCAATATCTGTAAATGATATCTGTCTGCACCAAGGGTGAGGGGCCTCAAAGTTGACACCTGCCCAGGCCTTACTGAGGTTCTTTTAGGGCTTCTCTGTTCTATTCAGCAGTGTCCCAAATCACAAGAAATGTCTGAAGCACAATCGCTCACACAACAGGCTGGTTCACACATAAAACCATAATGCGACATGCCTGGGTTTGCCTCCTCCTTCCTCTGTGAACCCTTAATTCTCTTCTGTCTGCCTTATTCAGGCAAGCCATGATTTGATGTTAGATCCAAATTGGCAAACTATGGCTCACACCTGCCCTCCAAGTTAAGCGATGATTGGAACCATGCAGGACAAAATAGACAATGAGAACACAAGGACCAGGTTACCAACCCATGTCCATTATATCTAACTTGGCTTACTTGCTATTTGAAGGCAAGGTCAATTATAGATAGGGACTGGATATGGATAAAATGTAATTCTCAGATGTCTAACCTGTGTGATGAGACACTTGAGTTCAGTCCTCTCCATCTCCCAGGTGGCTTTGGCTTTGGCAAATTGCTGCTGCAACTCGTTCATGCCTTGTCTCTCTTCACGCAGCTCAGTGCACAGTTCCTTCAAGATCACCTTCATATCTGACAGAGTCTTGATGTATTCTATGGGCTACAAGAGATACAAAAAAGAAAAAAAGCATGACCACTGGGATGTACTGGGAACAATGGAGACATTGCCATTATCTTCCTAATCATTGTGATTTTCAGAAAGAGATGCATTCTGGAGCAGCAGTATATACTTACAGCTAATAACAGAGAGAACTATGAAGAGCTACTGTGGCATAATGCAGCAGTTTTCACAGACAGGTGTGTGTTAAGTTATTTTAGAATGCATAACAAAAACCAAACTAAAAAAATATAGATGCTTGCAATCCTTGAAAGCTCACACTAAAATTAACCTGTTCATTGTTAAGGTGCCACAGTACTTTTTAGTTTTGGCTTGGCTTTTGTATGCAATGTAATGGTTAGAGTGCAGAACTTGGGAAAACTGAAAATCCATTGCCCCTAGTGACTGGGAAATGTAGTTTAATAAAACTCTAAACCACTCACAATTCCAAGTTCCATTAGAAAGTTGCATTAAGGCTTGGGAGATATGAGTTAAAATACCCATTTAGCTTTGAAGTTCACCTTGACCCAATCATGGTCTCTCAGACTAACATATCTCACAAGAGCTGTCTGGAGAAAAATAGTCATCTCATTAACTTTAAAAAAATGTTAGTTGGCAATTCATCTTTTCTACAAATCTGAGTTCAAAGAAAGTTAACTACAGGTACTTCTAATAAACAACACAGGGAGAAGAGGAACAGACATTCTTGCTTTGCCTAGCTTCAAAGAGCAAGTCTCTGTGTTTTGTTGGGTATAGTCAGGAGGAATAAGCAACCCAGGGCTACAAAACAGATTAGCTGACTGAAAATCCAAATGTGTTTCCCTTGGCCTGCAAATCTAAGCCACATTTAGGCCTTGCAGGCGGAAGGAAGGCGCTTTGAAACTCAGATGTAGCCATCCTGGGACACATTTAGGCCTTGCAGACGGAAGGAAGGCCGAAGTGCAAAGATCAGGCTTTGAAACTCAGATGTAGCCATCCTGGGCAATTCCCTATAAGATCGGTCTTTCCTCTTCTCTTGATACCACCACTGCTCAGAAGTTTCAAGGTTTGTACATCCAGGATTGGCAGACTCTTTTTTTAAAAAATCAATCTATGCCCTGTGTTTGCCTTTTTCTGGGATGGGGTGGAGTAGGGAGGGGAACATCATGACTGTGGTTCAGAAGAAAGATTCTGCCTCAACAGAGAGGAGCAAGTGATGAGTCCATGTGGAACTGCTGGGAATGTTGGCCTCACTCAGCACAACAGTAAGGCTGGCCCAGGGATGGTTCCAGATAAGCAGAACTCGTGCTAGGAAGAGATTACATAGAAATCTCTACTGGAAAAGTTTACATACATGAAGGCTCCCCCTCTTTTCACTCCTCCCCTCTCACCGTGTTCTGAGACCAGGTATCTCCAGTACATGTCTTATTATCTGCTTGCTGCTGGGGATTTAGCTCCTCCTCTTCAATCAGAAGGTAGAGTTCCTTCATACTGTTTACCTGGAAAGAATGATACAGGGCAAATAATGAATGGGAGTCTGCAATGGCTGTAATCACATGCTTTGTGCATAGAAAAGCACCCAACAATATATGGTTCATTACAATGGTGGACAACCTGTGGCCTCCAAATGTTTGGGACTTCAACCCCCTGTATCCCTAGCCATAGGCCATGCTGGTTGGAACTTCTGGGAATTGAAGTCCAAGTGTCTAGAGAACCACTGACCTACTCAGTCTTTTAGAGTGGTATAGGATGTATCAGGAATGAGATAAAGCATACAGTGGGCCCTCAGCTTACAGACGGCTCGACTTACAGACTTTTCAAGTTATAGATTTCTCTGGCTGCAACATTTAGATTCGACTTGCAGCCGGAGAATCGCCCTACAGACCAGAAAAAAAACCAAAATGGAACAAAAATAGAACAAAAATGGCCGGTTATGGGATTAATCAGTTTTCAATGCATTGTGGGTCAATGGAGACTCGACCTACAGACTTTTCGACCTGCAGCCACCGTTCCAATATGGATTAATTCTGTAAGTAGAGTGTCCACTGTAAGAGCTGTAACCTGAGGTTGGAGCATGCACTTTTATAAAAACACTTCACTATCAGAGCTCCCCTTACTACCCAAATTTCTGTGCCAGGCACCTTTCTGTACATCTGTGCTTGGGCAGAATAATCATTTGCATTTCATACTAGTGTGTGGATTATAAGGAAGCTTTTGTTTCTAAGTCTAGAACTGCTCAACTGTTCACTGATCATGGATTCTGCTGTAATAAATCTACTGTTCTGTAAATGGTGAGGTACATTTTATTCATCTCCCTCAATAAGGCTCCTTTCTCCTTACAGTAATGCATTAGATTATTTAATAGGAATGTTTCTGCAAAGTAAACTCAGTTCTATTAATAGTAAACATAACATGGATGCATGCTAAAATTGGGCTGTCCAGCTACTACATTTCTTTTTGAGGCAGTTTATGGACTACATCAAATGTAAAGATGTGTCACTGGAGATGAAGACTAAGATCATTCACACTATTGTATTTCCAGTCACTATGTATGGATGTGAAAGCTAGACAATTAAGAAAAGCTGTCAGAAAATAAATTGATTTGTTCAAAATGTGGTGCTGAAGGGGAGATTTGCGGAATCCCTGCTTCCAGAAAGGCAAAAACAAGTAGGTCCTAGATCAAATCAAGCCTGAACTATCTCTGGAGGCAAAAATGTTGAAATGGAGGCTGTCCTGCTTTGGACATATTATGAGGAGACAGGATTATTTGGAAAATGATGCTAGGAAAGGGTTCAAGGCAGAAAAGAAGAAAAGAGGAAGACCAAATACAAGATGTATTGATCCCCACAGGCTTGAGTTTACAAGAGCTGAGCAGGGCTATTGAAGACAGGACATTTTGGAATCACTCATTCATGGGGTCACCATAAGTCAAGGGCAACTTGATGGTACATAAAAAGAACACAATTGATTACACAGCCTTCTTTGTATTTATGCAAAAGGACCTTGCTAAACGCCAATTTACTTACAGAACTTTAATATGGGGAAAAGTGTATTTTGTGTTCTTTGGCTGTAACACTTGTGCACATTCTCCATACAGGACAAAATTCATCACAACAGAAGCAAAATTTACATTCTATCTGATGTAGATTTCACATATATGTAGGGAACTCAACATTCACATTAGAAATCTAAAACAGATTTGTTTTAATTCTCACATGAGGAAATTGGCCAAGATTTCAGCTGATGATCTTTACCAAGATGTGCTTCAAGCTTTCAGAAAACCCTCCGCATTCTGAAGGCTAGATAACACCTCTTGCCTCCAGAGAGCAAAAGGTATACAGAAGATAATTGTCAATGGATAAATCTTAGTTTATATGAGCCCCAGTCTTGGCAAGCTTTAATAAGAGCACAAAGAGAAAAGCTGTAACACTGCCCATCCTTGTCTTAATTCAATAAAAGCAATAAAAACAGAAGCAAAAACAAAAATGGAAGGGAAATGGCTTTGTTTATCTCCTTTAATGTCAGCTGGACAGTTTGCTTAGGGAGAGAAACCCATACTCAGAGTTTGTAATACCTCCAAGAAGTCACTCCCTTCATTCTGGAGAATCTTCCCCTGCCTCCAATGCTTCAGGAACCACTTCAGCTTCATGAAAAGGAGTAAGAAATTCTGCTTGAACTGCTGGGATTCTTGTACCAGAAGGTTCTTCTCTTGGCTCCAGAACTTTTGTTCCAGCCTTCTCTGAAGATTCAAGCTCTGCAGCTCAAATTCTCGCCTCAGGAGGGCCTTCTGGTGATCTTCCTTCAGCTGACAAAGAACCAGAAAAGATGGAAAGCAAATTTTTGAAGTAACTGAGGCCAGTTACACATTATATGAGATGGACAAAAGTATGGCCCATAAACTGCATAGAGCCCCAACAACATGTTTTCCTACCCCCACACCCAGGAGCTCTCCCAAGTCCCCCAAGTGAAACAAAACAACACAAATGACAAAATAATATTGTCATGCTCTTGGAAGCTTCCAGGAGCAGTAATTTTCCCATAGAACAAGTTGGGAAGGTTCCTAAAATCCCTAAAAATCCAAATCAGAAGCACAGATCCTGGCACTTCTGGGGGGGCATTTGAGGGCATGGTGAGGCCCCACATTGGTGCTCAAGACAAATATTTAGCATCCAGGCCCACCAAAGGTGTCTAGATCTGCATCAAATGAATGGAATTTACAATTGTAGGCCAAAACATGCTCATTTTCATAAATTTGCAACTCGTATATATTTTGTGAATATAAATGTAATTTTAGACTAATCTAGGATATTTTAATAAGGACAGAGGTTGCAACAGAGAAAGAAGAAATGAAAGAGTTAGGGCTCTGCTGACACAATATACAACATGGCTTATGGGCTAGGACACCATCATCAGATCCGTACCAAACATACACAGAAACACTCCTACTTCACTAAACTACTTTCAATTGACATCATACAAGCTAGGAAACCAAGCAAATCTTGATTGCTTGAGCCTACAAGAGAAACTCTTGTTCAACACTAGTTCTATTGCAGTTATTGCTTCTTCAGAAATACCATATTGCAATAAGTTACTGTTTAGCAAAATAAGTAATGGCAGATTGACTGAAATCCCATTGTTTAGTGTAGAACGTCACAACTAGAGTAGGTCCGTTTGAATCAGTGGAACTCACCAAATCCCAATAGATTCAATGAGGTTACTGTAGTACAACTTATTACTCTAAGCAACAGGATATCAGCCACCATTTCCTAGAGAAAAGGTTCAGAAAGGTTACCTTTATTTGGAAGCAAACATGTCTGCAGGTAATCCCACAGTTGTGCGACTGCTAGAGAACCAGAAAGTACTTGCCAGGTAACATAACTAAAGTATGTTATCACAGCATGCTTGTTAGCGACTGATCCAGGCAATGAACTCCCAGCACATGGAGATCCCAGCTGGAGACACCTGCCTCTTTGTTCATAGCCAAAGAAGGCAGAATAAAGTTGCTCTGTGCTTTCGCAGACTGCTGCAACTATGATTTGCCTGAAGCAGTGGAAGGGTCTACAGCTTGTGCTAAAGTCCTCAAGGGCATTTGCTGCAGGTCTCTCTCACAGCCCAGAGGCTGGCTCCAGGCAAACTTTACTGACCTGGCAGATTTTCTGGGTGAAGTTCTCTGCTTCTTCTTTCCTCAGCTGCCTCTCCTGGGAGAGCTGTTCCTGTAGGCCCCTTAAGCTCTCATTCGCCTCTGAGAGAACCAGTTGCAACTCCTTGATCTGCAAGGACAGTTTAAAAACCAGCAACAGTTAAAGCTGATATCCTCTTGTATCCTAATTCTCTGCATCATTTTGGAGAATACATGAAACACAGCCAACTTCAGGAAGGCATGACTAAGGCCCATGTTTATCTCCAGTTTGAAGATCTAATGCACATACACCTTACAAGAACTGAGGGTTTTGGTTTTTGCTATTAAATGTACATGTATCTATGAGAGCGCCGTTCCACAATCTACCTCGAATGCCTGAAACTGTGGATAGTATATATACAACATAAAAGGGGACAGGACAAAGGCCACAAGGCCCACCCCCTTGTATGTTATATATATGGCTGTGATAAACTGCGGATAACTGTAACTGCACATACTGATCCCATAGATATGGGGGTCCTACTACATACAGAACAGGAACAAGAAGCCCTAGAATTACTGAGTCATCTGTGTTTATTTTTGGCTCAAACTGCCATTGAACACACCTAACCCAATACAAATACAATGCAACTTGAGTTTCAGAAATATACATACAAAACAGGAACAAGAAACCCTAGAATTACTAAGTCATCTGTGTTTATTTTTTACTCAAACTGCCATTGAACACACCTAACACAACAAAAATACAATGCAACTTGAGTTTCAGAAATACATTGTCAATCCAAAAAATCTGTATTTCAGAGATTAATAAAGCTTAATAAACCTCTTGCTCATTTTCCAATAATAATATAGCCATGTTGTATAGAAATATATACATCAGTGAGCACGCGTGCTTTCTCTACGCATGCACCCAGAGCAATACATTGAAATGGGTGCATGACTGTTGTGACCCAGCAGGAACATCCACCTAAGAGAAGAGTAATGAGCCACTGGCTGCAGTGGGAGAAAGGCATCTATGTTGGGGGGGGGGGCAGGGTACCAACCCTATGGGCACTCAGGGACTCTGGCTCCAACCTAGTGCTCCTAATCTACAATCTGAGACATACTCAATTGTTATGTTTATATCCCAGCTTTCCTTCAATATAGCCAAGATGACACCTATAGCTCTCCTTCTCCCCACTTTATCCTCACAACAACCCTGTGAGGTATTGTCAGACTGACAGAGTACCATTGGTGCAAGATCCTTCAGTGATCTTCATGGCTCTTTAGGTATTTGAATCCAGTTCTCCCTAAGTCCCAGTCCAGTGCTTTCACCACTACATCACACTAGATTAAATCCACCCTTTTCCCCCTCATGGTACTTGCACATCCAGTGGTCTAGATCCACTGCTTCAATTTGGAAGCAGGAGGTTTCCAGGTGGCTGAAAAGATATGAACAAGGGTTGTACCATGTCCCTCCCACCCCTCTTGGAAAGAGTTAAACCATTATTTCCCCAGCCAAATTATTCTCTCCCCGCCCCTCCCCCTGTGGAAACAAGAGTGTCTACCTCTGACAGATAAGAGTCCTTCTCCTCCAGTTGATATGACTTGTAGCTCCGGTCGCGTTCCATGTTGGGATCCACATCAATGGTGGTTGTGTTGCTGCTGCCAATGCGGTACAAATCGGAAGGCCTGCTCTCCCCAACATCCCAGTCTTGGGCCTCCCTAAAGTCAGACTGCTGCATGCATGGGCAAGTTAATGAGAACAAACCAAAAGAGCAGAAAAGAAAAGAAAAAACAAACAAAACAATGGGTCTCAGGAACAATAAAGAGAGCTACAAGACAACAAAAAGGATGAAGAGGAGGAGGAGCTTTACTACCGTGGCAGAAGACAAAGTGGAAAATAAAAGGAGACACAAAATGAGCAGACATGTGGGCTGGATTGTTTGGGGAGGGGAAAAAGAGAGAGAGGGAAAAAATGTGCAAACACCAGTTATGGTGCCATGCAGTGCCAGGGGTGGGGGTGGGACTAATTGGGGTTGGGGAAGGGGCCAGTTGCATGCACAAATATAGGACTCTGGAAAAGTTGGAGTGTGCTTCAGGAGGTTGCAACCCGGTCACCTCACAAGAACCCCTTCACTAGAAGAAGCCTTTCCTGCATCTTCTTTAGATTTGAACACCAATCCCGTCACTGTCTCAGCTAGATTTCCTCTCACAGTGTGTCTGCCCCATCAGAAAGGCTGAAAACTTAAGGGATGTGCAGCCAAGCTTAGTTAAGATGCTAGATGTACTATCTGTTCACCAAAGCAATTTCTATCACTTTCCCACTAACCCACTCTATATAACAGAACAGGGAACTTAGCACCTTTCCTGTGTTTTTAGATCCAATGCTCTCAGCCCCATAATACAGTACTGATCAAGCTGGTAGGAACTGCTGGCTGCAGTCTGAAATATCTCAAGGACACCAGATTGCCTATTCTCTTCTGGAGTGTCAGTTGCTTTGCTGTATAACTTTAAAATAAACTTTCTTATAACAGGATCAATAAATATCCAAAAAAAATAATTAATTGAGCTTAGCAGTTGAATCCAACAGTTGCCTTCTGGTGTTCCAAAAGGCTGCCGAGCTTTTTGAACTAGGCAACTGAGATAACATTTCAGCTCAAATCAGAAACTGTGGCCTTCCATGTTCTAGTATCTCTTCTGCATTTATTAGAAAAGTAATGGAAGTCTTCTCCTTAGGACTTCTGATTTGAAATTTGTACTCTAAAACTATGAGTAAGTACAGTCCCATCCTTCTAAACGAGAATGTTGAATATTCTTCATCTCTTGCACACATGTTGAATATTCTTCATCTCTTGCGCACACACAATTGTTTGTGGGCCAAGAAATAAAAATAAAGAAACTGATTCGATATCCTTGAGCTCAGCTAGTAAACCTCTCTTTGGGTTATGTTTAGGATGTGAAAGAAAAGCAACAGCCTGCATGCAAGACCCTCTCTCCCTTCTCCTTTCAGTGAAACACAATTTAAACTTAAACCATACGGTATCTCATTTGACATCAGGTGTTTGTGTAACTAAAAGTCTCACTTTTAGCGTTTCAAATGTCAGCTACTACAATAGAAACTGACATCTCAGGCACAAAGCAGATGAGATCAACCAAAGATGGCCTAACAAAGGATTTTTTTTTTTATAGTTTATTCCCCTTGTCTTTCTCCAATGTTATTTTTACCTATCCCTATCCTCCGCATGCTCTACCATCTCTGTACTGTGAGTGGTAAAGGGTGGTAAGTTGTATAAAAACAATTCTCTGGCCAAAACAGTTGTGGGAGAGACATATGGGGGTGGGGGAGCAGAGAGAGAGAGAGATGAAAGCTGTAAACAGTTAAAATACTCCCTCCAAGACTAATCTAATTTGCTTATCTGCTTCACAAATTCTGTAACAGATCCTAATCAAAGAGTCGCTGATCTATTTGAGATCCTAATTTTGATTCAACATTTAGTTTTGGGTGAGTTAAAGGTAAAGGTAAAGGTTCCCCTTGACAATTTTTGTCCAGTCGTGTTCGACTCTAGGGGGCGATGCTCATCCCCGTTTCCAAGCCATAGAGCCAGCGTTTTGTCCGAAGACAATCTTCCGTGGTCACATGGCCAGTGCGACTTAGACACGGAACGCTGTTACCTTCCCACCGAGGTGGCCCCTATTTATCTACTTGCATTTGCATGCTTTCGAACCGCTAGGCTGGCAGGAGCTGGGACAAGCGACGGGAGCTCACTCCGTCACGCAGATTCGATCTTACGACTGCTTGGTCTTCTGACCCTGCAGCACAGGCTTCTGCGGTTTAGCCCGCAGCGCCACCACGTCCCTGTTGGGTGAGTTAACTGTTTGGTATTTCAGTTGATTTAAACTGATACGTTATCAATTAATGTATTTTTAGTTGAGGCGCAAGCCACTTTTCTGTAGCAGCTTTCCAAAATTACGACATCAGGGGAAGACTTTCAGGTCTATCCTTTTCACTCACCTGGTTAATTTTGGAGATTCAAGTGATATTGGTGGTAGCCATTTTACTACAACTCTCTCCATATGTAAAAATGGCTTGGGAAAATCATTGCTCATTGGTTTCACTACCATACAAAATAAATGAGTAGGCTATCAGTGCAAGTTCCTCTGTGTCATTCCTCTGGGCACAAAGAGACGGTGGCATTTCTCTTTGCAGCCAAACACTTGGACTTCACCTGACTCCGTCTAAATCTCCCACGGTAGCTTTAATATGACATGCACTTTTCCATGCAATTAACCTCCTGTCCCATGCACACTCTGCTAATCCAGAATCCTATCTTCTCACTGGCCTCAATCACATGCAGTGAGCCAGTTGTTAGTTTGTCATTTCACTCTGAGGAAGCAGAAAAGGGAAGTTACATTAACAGGTTCAGGTTCTGATTTATTAAAGCAGGAGAAAAACAGCATGGCAAATAAAGCAATAATCACTGGCAAAGGAATCACTCTTGACAACTTGGGTAAATCCTCACCTGGAATTCAGAGCTATGCTCCTTCCGCAGGGCTTCTTTAGTGGAGTCCAGAGAGCCACAGCTTGGCAGGGAGTCCTTCTGGTCTCTCAAGCAGTCTCCAATATGGTCCACCTTCTTCATGAAAGAGTTCAGCTCCTGCTGAAGAACCCCAAGACGCATCAAAATGGCACTGATCAGCTTAGAATCTGTGGTGCTCTCGTTATCCATGGCTTCACTCAGCACCAGCTCAGCACAGTCGTTGTCCATGCACAACTTGAGGCTAGAAGTGAAGCCATTGGCATCAGAGATCAGGACATCAATGGCTTTGCCGACAAGTGCAGCCTGGTCCCTGATGTCAAGGAGGGTCTCGAAGTCTTTTGATCGCAGAAGCCGGATTGGACTGCTATCATGAGACTTGCTGAAACCATGGCCGGGTGCTCTCTCCTTAGCCTCATTCTCACCCCCAATGGGCATCTCCCTCCAAAGGGATGTTGGAATGCATTGGGCAGAGTCACCAGCCTCCGCATCTGTCTCTAGCATGGGCCGGGTGGTCTGGCAAGAGGCAAGGTCGCAGCGCTGCAGGTTAGAGAGCAATACGCGGTTCTCATATTGAAGCTTCTTGACCTTGCCACTCAGCTCATTGATTTGGACCTTGGCAGTGGCCAGCTCCTCTTGGGAGGTCTCACTGATCACTGAACAGCTGTCCTCAGACAAAGTGATGTCCAAGTCATGGTCTGATTTATACTTATTGAGCTCATTCATAAGCAGCTTGTTCTGTTCTTCAAGCTCCATCAGTGAGCGCCTCAAAAGATCAGCCTCCTCCTCCACAAACTGCAAGTGTCGCCTGAGCTCTGCCACACTCTCCCCAGATTCCCCACAATTTGTCATGGAGAAGGCAAACTGGATGTCTTGACCCAAGAATTCTTTGTCTCCTTGCCCCTTCATATCATCCATCTCTGCTCTCAGCCCTCGATTTTCAACCTCAAGCTCCACAATCCTTCGACTCAAGATGTTGGCTTCTTCTTCGACAAGCTTGAGGTGGACCTTTAGCTCTGCTTCTCGAGAATGAGGGGAGTCAGCCAGCTCCTCTATGGAGAGGGAGCTATCCAGGTCTCCATATAAGGACCGATATTTTGTCAACTCCTCTTTCATGCTGTCATTCTCTTTGGCTAACTTTGTCAGTTTCTTGCACATCAAAGCCGATTCCTCCTTTGCGAAATGCAATTGACACTTGAGGTCTGCGTTGTCCTCCTAGGATTGAAACAGAAATGGTGCAAGCATCACAAAAACGGTCCTCTGGAAAACTACTCTGAGCAGAAGGAGACTTGTTCTCTTCTCTCTTAAGACGCAGAAGCAGTGTTTTACATGTATATCCATATCATACAGCAGATGTAAGGCATCCGTGGGCCTACAGTTATTTTTTCACAACTCCCATCAGTCCTAGCCAACATAACCAATAGTGAGGGATTATGGGAGCTACAATTCAAAAACATCTGGAGAGCAACAGGTGGCCAATTCATTGGGGGAGAAGGACTATCTCTCTCAAGTAAAATAAACTTCTCTTCTAGCCTACATGCAATATAGAAGAAACAGAATGACCAAATTTTGCAGTGGAACAGCTTTGTCTCAAGTCCACAGCACTCCTCTCCTCTTCTTGCTTGCTTAAATCTGAAAGAGGCTATATTTTAGTCTGTCAGTAATCACAGAGTCTGCTTGTAAATAAGGAACAACAAGACCTGTTTTGACTATTATTTAAATGCACCAGAGGTACAGAAACACATAGTCATGTTAAGCAGGGAATTCTGGGAATAATAATCCCAAACAGCAATTTTTCAAGACTCTGCAACGTGCAGAAGCAGCTCTCTTTTTGAGGCTCCATAACATGATGGAGAAGGAAGAAATTAGCTTTTACTGTGGGAGTGTGTTTTAGGCTCTGGCTAAAAGTGAATGAAAAACACATTGCTAGAATGCATATTCCTAACTGTTGGATCTGGTGTGTGCTTTCTATTTAAAAAAAAGGAAGAGGGAAAAATCTCAAGTCTACTCTAACAGACTTTGTAACTCTCTCATCACCCCACGCCCACAAAGCCTATTAAGAAATACTATAGTTTGGAGAGTGCTTTAACTCCCAGTAGCTTTATGGAAATTTGAAATATTTTTCCCCTCAAGGAATATTACCTCATAAAAACGACTGTTGCTTATAAAATTAGTTCATTTCCTGTTTTCATAACTCAACTGAGGGAGAGAAAACTCTCACAAATCCCTCCCCAGAAAGAAAGTCCCCACCAGGCACTCAAGACCTCTTTTCCAGATGGCCAAGACAGTGGAAGCATTCAGTTGCAACGGCCATGCCTCACATTGCATCAGCCACAGTTGAAAAAAGGCAGCTATTATTAACTCTCAGAAATGCCCTACACTGTTGTATTATGCTTACAAAAATTCACTGTACCAGATTTGGTCACGGCATAAAGAAGGGAGTGTGTGGAGGGGACAGGAACAGAAAATCACTGAGAAGCAAAATAAAATGGTTTTTCAAAAGAGAAAAGAAGACAGTGACGGTTATTTTTCAAAGAAACAAGTGAAACTCATGTTGTCTTGCAATGCTAAGCACAGCTTCCCTGTTGGAGTTCAGTGGAAGCCTGCACAACAAAGCATTTAATAAGCCATAATCAGAGATTGGAAATGTAATGTTTTGGACTACAATGCCTAAAATCCTCTCAGCCAGATGGGGATATTCTGCAAGTTATAGTCCAAAAAGGAGCATTTCTAAGCTCTGTCCATAATGCTTTTGTATAGTCTTATTTTTCCTAGTTTGATGTTTTAATTCTAAGTGGAACATCTGGAAAACATTTTCCCCAGAAGCCCATATAGGGGTAGAACTGTCAACTGGACCAATATGATCAGTCTGTTGCTGATTTGGACAATGCTTACCATGGATTCCTTCTAGCTACCATATGAACCATTAGTCGTAATAAGCCTGGGCTCATCCAGGGTGGATTTGATTTAAATGATTTTTAAAATCTAATTTAAATCAGAGTGGATTTGATTTAAATATTATTTTTAATCAAATAGGTTTCAATCATGATTTAAATTTTAAAAATCAGATTGATGATTTAAATAGTAATTCAAATCCAAGCGAATTTTAAAAAATGATTTTTATCCACCCTGGACTCAGCTCAGATATCAGGTGTTCTTAGTGCATTCATGGAGTCATCCTAAATTATTCATGTAGATAAATGCTCCATTGCTATTCTAATCCATGGGGAACCCACCAATTGACGTCCAAGTGCAGGAACATAGGAAGCTACCTTAACCTGAGTCAGACCATTGGTTGATCTGACCCACTACTGTCAACACTGACTAACAGTAGTTCTTGTTTTACCAGTTCTGACACTACTTAGCTTCTGAAATCAAATGAGACCAGATGCGTTCAGGGTAGCACGGTGTTCAGTGATAACACCCACGGTTATCAGAAACACTTGCATTTATTTCAATCAATAAATTCGAAGAATTTACAGTTGCATCTGTTGTATTACAGAACACAAAACATGGCCTCTTTGGTTGGGTGTAGAGAGAGCAAATATCACACTTCATGAATTCGAACTGAGTAATACTGTATACGGTAGCTATGTTGTCATGGCAGGAATAACATCAGCAGCAGTGGCTGATTGCTGCTAAATAAAGGCTTACTTCCTCAATTTCAGGTTGCATGTGACTTCCTCTCAGTGTGCACAGGTCACACACAGCACCAAACCAAAGCAGACTTTTTCAGTTAGTAGCATCTAGCACTGCCTGTGACATCATTCCCAGTGCAAGAGCAAAGCTATGCAACAGGAATTGGGCAATGTTTGTTGTGACAGTTACATGCTACTTTCTATGAACATATTTCCCAAAGCAAATTATGATGCAATTTAAAATACAATAAATAAATAAAGATGTACAATAACACTAAGGAGAACAAAGAGGAAGAGGGCTTTAAATTTATAAAGAACAATTTGAATTCCCTTCCATGAGGTCCTGTAAGTCAGCGGTCCCCAACCTTTTTTGCCCCGCGGACCAGCTGGGGAAGGCAGGCACCCCCCCTGTGCACGTGTGAATGTGCGAAGGTGTCTGTGCGTGCTTGTGCACATGTGTGAAGAGCGGTGTGGCGCTCAGGTGGGCATGTGCACTTGTACGCATGTGCAAAGGGCAGCGCAGTGCTCGGGCAGGCACTCGCATGCAGGCACAAACAGGCTGTGGGGGAGTGCGTGCAGGGGTGGGGGTGGGGTCTCTATCTGCGGCCCGGTCAGGCTCAGGCCATGGGCCGGTACGCAGACTGGGGGTTGGGCACCTCTATTGTAAGTGAAGGGGACGTTCAGATTGCCACTCACAGTTATCTAAAGAGTGTCACTGAAAAGCTTTCTGGCAAAGAAAAAAATGGAGTCCATGTGTTCTCCTGTGGCCATGAACATGTATTTCCCCTCTATACTTCTTGGTGCCTTCCACCCCCTTTTCCTCATTCTCTCTACAGAAAGGAAATGTTTCAAAGCACTACTATCAGAGCCTTGTGGCACAGTGGTTAAACTGCTGTACTGAAGCCAAAACTGTGCTCATAACCTGGGGTTCAATCCCGGATAGACAGATCAAGGTTCACTCGGCCTTCCATTATTCCATGGTTGCTAAAATGAGTATCCAGCTTGCAGGGAGGGACAAGATATAGCCTGCATAATTAACTTGTAAACTGCCCAGAGAGTGCTTTAAGCGCTATGGGACGGTACATAAGCAGCATGATTTGCTTTGCTTTATTACAACATGTAATTTATCAAAATGCAGAAAATATTTATACTGAGTTCATCTTTGTACTTTACCCAAATTTGCACTACATGTTCAAAGAGAACAATCTGGCATTTTCACCATGCAGTGTATTATAAAGACTTCTAGTGGACCAGAGTGAAGACTGCATCACTACAGCCTTTCAGAAGCAGCCTTATTCCCCCAGCCAACAAGCCCTCTGACTGGCTGACTAGCATGGCAAGCCAAACCCCCATACAGCATGTTATGGTGGGTCATACAAGAGCAACTGTCATGTGGGGAAGATGACAGCCAGCCAGCAATGCTATCTCCAGGCCACCGCACTGCAGATAGGGTCCCTGATAAGTTGGGCTGAAAGATCTTGGCTTTTCATTTCAAATGATATATTGAAGTATAGTTGGCCTGTGTAAGTGAACAAGAATTCTGGACAGTAATATCAAAGCAACAGAAGGACAGTTTATCCTGAAGGGAACTAGGGTTTACCCATATTGCCATCTACACTCTACAAGTCCTTGAAAAATTGGTTGTTGTGGGTTTTTCGGGCTCTTCAGACGTGTTCTGAAGGTTGTTCTTCCTGACGTTTCGCCAGTCTCTGTGGTCGGCATCTTCAGAGGACTGGAGTAGGAAGAGCATGGACTGAGTTCCTATTCCAGTTCTCTGAAGATGCTGGTCAGATCCTGGCCATGAAAGCCTTCGAGAATTCCTTGAAAATTGCTTCTGTAAGCTTTCCAAGAAATAAATCTTTATAAATTGCCTTCTCGCCAGTTTTGCATCCTTCATTTTAAAAAAAAACTATTAAAGGGTTAATTAAAAGGCTTCCAGAGCTTCTGACACAGTAATGAACTCTTAATAGGAACTGCTATAACGATAAGCTCTCTTGACAACAAAGATTGGTTCCCAATAACACAAGCTCTACAGGAAGATCACAGAATCATAGAAAGCAAAGGAAAAGGAATACATCTGATCAAATTCAGTCTTATGTCATCTGGTCTGTGAGAAAAATAAAAGGAACAGCACTGAATTAGATAATCCTGCTTCCATGTGAACAAGCCCTGAGTTCATAATGCACAACCTTCTTCCTCCAATTGATATGTTTTCTTTTGTCTTGAGAAGAAGGACTGGCACTAATGCACAGTTAACCAGACCATTCTTCTAGATGTGCAGGCAATTTTTTAAAAAGCTCTATCAGTGGAGCATCTTCATAGGACTGCTTCAAACATTACAGAATCTCTACATGTTTTATATACATTGCCAAATACAGTGGTGCCTTGCACAACGAGCGCACCGTATAACGACGAATCCGCATAGCGATCCCTTCTCCGGGATCGCTAATGCGGAGGCATAGCATCCGTCCCTATGCAAAAAACTCGCTTACCGAAGACGGGTGCCAGGAAGGAGCCGCCGCCGCCGCCGCGAGAGTGATGCGGGGCCGCGCTGGCCGGGAAGAGGAACGCAGGCTGCAAGGCAGGCAGGCGAAGGGAGGGCAGCCGCACGTTCGCACGTCCTCCCCCCCCCGACTTTCCCTCTTTCTTCTCCTGACGCCCCCAGGGACGAAGGCAGGCTGCGAGGCAGGCAGGCAAAGGGAGGGAAGCCGCGCGCTCGCGCGTCCTCCCCCCCCTTTCCCTCTTCTCCTCCTCTGTCTGCAGAACCCCCAAGCCTCCCACCGAGTCAAGCCATCAGCTGTTTGGCGGGTCTAAAATGGCTGCCGGACGCCCGAAATGCCCGCACGCAGCGTTTTCACACCCTCCCCTCGCTTACCGAGGATGCGAAAACGGCTGCCGCTATGGAGGAAACTTCCCTGAACGGTAAGTTTAGGGCCAATTGGGCTTTTACGTTCTGTTTAGCGACGATTTCACATAGCGAGGGATTAACCTCGCTATGCGGGGCACCACTGTATATATAATCTTTTTAAAGACAAAAGCGAGAGAGAGAGAAGATTGGCAATCCTTCCACAGGTATGTGTCCCAGCTTGTGTAGCTTGACCAGTTTAATAAGATTTATGTGACTTAGCTTTATACAGGGAAAATAAAAGACCCAGGCTTGGTCCCAAAACACAGGAAGGCCTCTTCTCAAGAGCCATGTGCTTTTGATTTCAAAGAACTAGGCATGTTAATCTGTGCAAGTATCTCCAGACAAAAACAGAAAACAAAAATAAAGAAAGCAAAACAATAAAAACAAACTGCAAATCTTGCCAGAGTTCCCATTTGCTATTAGCACTAACTCCTTGGATCTTAGCTTTTATCATGTTAGTTTGGAGTGCTTGTTCTTGTGCAGCAAAAAATCAAGCCTTCAGTTTCTTTCTTAAAGGTCCCCAGTTTTAGCCATGCCCATGTTGAATTATAATCATGCTTTCCATCAATATTTCTCAGGTGTTGTCCATGTAGAGGTTTATTTTTCCAGCTGTTTAATTTCTTTTCAAATTATTGTTTGTTATATTGCATCTTTGTTTCTGTTGTTTTCAAAATATTCTCCATTTTCACTGCTTTCAGTAATTTTTCTCTGCTTGTACTGATATAATCATTCAGGCTTCTTTCTTCTTCCTCTACTACCTCCTGTATTTGCAGTAATCTATAGCCTCCAATTTTTTGTGGTAAATAGAATCTGTCCACATCGCTTTTTGGATGTAGTGTATGGTGCATGTTCATTAATTTCCATGTTTTTAGATCCAGTTCTTCTAGTTCGTTTTGAGTCCAATCTATTATTCCAGCTAGATATCTAATTACTGGAATGGCCAATGTGTTTATGGCTTTCCCCCATCTAATTTTGATTTTAAGATTTTCCGCAGTCTTTAGCTATATTCTCTTTCTGTCAGTTCTTTAACTTTTGTGTGCATGATGATGATGATGATTTAATTTATCACCATCATTATCATCTTAGAGGGGGGGGGTTTGGTCTGGATACACTTAAACAGACTTCTTTGAGGTGCCACAATGTTTTGTTTTAAAGTTTATGTTTGTGTTCAGTTTGGTCCAGGTAGTCCTCTGACTATTTCTGTAATGACTATAAAGCTGCAGTTGTTCCAACATGTTCTGTGCTATAAACACAAACATGTACAAGGTCTCTGGACAAAATATAAATATAGTGGCAAAGTTATGTAACCAGGCCAAAATCATGAACATGCCATCAAGTTCAATAGAAATATGAATATTTTCCTGAACCACAGATTGAACAAGTAGTTATGAACAGAATACAAGATTGATTTAGGCCTAGTGCTAACTTAGAGAGAGGCATCAACTCAATTTAAAAACTATCAATGCAATGTGATGCACTGGAATTCCCTCATTATGTTTTGCCACCAACCTATTTCCTTTTGCATCACTGCTCCTTTCTAATGACACCCTTTGGCACTGTTGCAGGGGATCTGGATAATGTATTCCAGATATTTCAGTGCTATTCAGGGTCAGCCAATACACTGCAAAGCATTTAACTACTAGAATCCAAAAGTCAGACTCACACAACATTAAAAAACTATGTCAACCTGTTCTTCTATTACCATGATTGTTAGCTTTAAATGTTTTAAAACATTGAAATGGCCGAGGAGAAATACCCAAGGAACTAAACCAAATTGAAATTGAAATGCCCAAAGAGCTAAACAAATGTCACTGCTTTATGGATTCAACATCATCTTTGATCCTTTGCATAATCATATCAGATGACACTCATTTTCCTTCTTAGTAAACAAAATATGTTTATGTATCCGGACAAGTTGCAACTAGAAAATATGATGAAGCAGGTGGATGGGTTGAGACATCTAGAAAGGTACAAATTTATTGGCCATTCCTAACCAAAGCCTTAGTTACAGCACACACCTCTGCCTGAATCGTAAGATCTATAACAGCATCCTACATAAAACAAGGAAGCTCTTCACCTTCCTTGCCTACCAAGTACCCTTCTTCATTACCAACTCACCCTATGTATTTACCAGATGGGCCCACTTCCCACATCTTTATGATCGTATGCAATGATCATAAAGATAATGGCTAATCTTATCTCTCTGCATCTTGAAATTTTATTTATTTAAAATTTACGCCACCTTTCTCCCCAAAAGGACCCAAGGCAGGTGGCTTCCATTACTAAAACAATTTTTAAAGCTAAAACAGCAAGTATACAAATTAAAAAGGATTAAACAAGTACTATATTAAAATAGCTCTCTTCATAGCTTTCCTGATAGTAGGATTAGCACCCCATGCTAGGCTAAGGTGATCTAAGCTTATCTAGTCCAGAAAGCTACATTCCACTTGTTGTTTTTATAGCAATTATATTTCCTACATTGACTCCTCAAAGGCTGAAGGCATTTTGACTATCAGTTGAAACATACATACACATAGATTGAGATCTAGATTGAGATCCTTAGTCCATCAAGCCCACTGTTGTCTACTGAGATTGGCAGTCACTCTCTAGAGTTTAGATTACCACCTGTTCTCAGAGGTGCCAAAGAATCAACCTAGGAACTTCTCCATGGCAACACGGTTGCTCTTTCACTACCCTATAGGACCTGCACCCCACCTTTTCAAGGTTAAGTGAAGGGACATTGTCCCCCAGTCCGAAGTTAAGCAATTTATCTCTTCCACTATCCTGTAGTGCAGCATTTAAGTCAAGCACATACTGCAGGAGAATGGCAATAGTGGAAAACCTATGTGTTCAGTGTGCAGGTACCTGAGCAGAAGATTTCTTGTCTGCCTTCCCAAGGGATCGTGATCCTCTTTTCTTCAAAGAATTCTGAAACCAAAAAAAGGGATGCCGAACAGTTGTTCCCCCATCGTAATGCGAGCATTCCCTCGCATTAGCAATGGGGAAATCCGCATCGCAATGCGGATTCATCGTTCAACGGTGCACTCGTTATACGAGGCACCACTGTATACACATTTTAGTTATACTAAATTGAGATCCTTAGTCCATCAAGCCCACTGTTGTCTACTGAGATTGGCAGTCACTCTCTAGAGTTTAGATTACCACCTGTTCTCAGAGGTGCCAAAGAATCAACCTAGGAACTTCTCCATGGCAACACGGTTGCTCTTTCACTAGCCTATAGGACCTGTACCCCACCTTTTCAAGGTTAAGTGAAGGGACATTGTCCCCCAGTCCAAAGTTAAGCAATTTATCTCTTCCACTATCCTGTAGTGCAGCATTTAAGTCAAGCACATACTGCAGGAGAATGGCAATAGTGGAAAACCTATGTGTTCAGTGTGCAGGTACCTGAGCAGAAGATTTCTTGTCTGCCTTCCCAAGGGATCGTGATCCTCTTTTCTTCAAAGAATTCTGAAACCAAAAAAAGGGAAAGAATTAATGCAAACAACAGCTGGGCAGTATTAACTGTCATGGATCCCAAAACCAGCTCCACCTTCTTTTCTACAACCGTGGGTATCAGCTTTCATTCCCACTCTACTCAGATGAAACTGACAGCACTGGAGTGTATTTTTCCAATGTGAATTTTTCATTCCACCATAAGAATGTGTGTGCCCTCTGCAGGAGTTAATTTACATTCACCAGCAAATGGTGAGTGGCCGTGTTAGCTGGAGATGATGGGGGCTGTAACTTGATCTGGAAGGATGTCACTTTGAAGAAAGCTGCCTTAGTGAAATTGATAAGGCTTTCTCTGAACCATATCAATTTTTATCAGAAAATGGAGGGGGGGAGTGAAAGCAAAACAGCAAGTATAACCAATGTGTAGCCTGCATAACTAACTTGTAAATCATCCAGAGAGTGCTTAAAGCGCTATGGGGCAGTATATAAGCAGCACACGCATGCTTTGCTTTGTTTTGCTTTTTTTTTTCCCCTGACCTTGTCACTTTCACCAAAATCCAGAGACAGGGATGGGCAGAATGCTGAAGGAAGTAGCAAAGAAGCAGACCTTTTGATCCAACTTGTACAATCCCTGAAAGCTGTGCCAAAAGCATGGCATAGTTAAATGACTGCAGCTTCCATGACAAAGAAAAGCAGAAACCATTTAGCATGGAGACTAATAAAGGTAAGGGATATCGTCTGATGCTTAAGATGTAACGGAAATGCAGTGAGGAAGAGGGAAAGAAGAAAAGTGTGTTTTGCCAAAAATACGATGCCACATCATAACAGAGGCTTGAATTGCTTCATAGAGGATTGAAACGCTTTGTCGCTCCTTGATCATACAGGCAGAGCCTGGCTATTCATACCCAAGAGACAGGCTTGCAGCTTGAAGAAAAGCATAAATCTTAAAACACTCTGGCGGCAGCTTTACAGATGAACCATCTTTTGCAAGGCACAGAGGAACTCGAAGGATTCTTTCAAGCAAGCAGACAATCATCCACTGTTTCCAAGGCAGTCCGCTCCCCACACAAAGCATAATCTCTTCCTCCTATTCCATTTATGCAGTAAAAGGATGTTCTGAAAGGATCTGAACACTCCCGTTTTGTATAAAGATTTTCAAGCAACTAGAAGATCACATACATATGAAAATGTTCCACTCCTTCCTCATGCAGCAAGCAACAGGAAAAGCAAAATAGAAGTAAAAGGAACCTGTGTTCACTGATAATTGGAGGAGGCAGTTTCTACCTCTTCACCTTTCATAAATAAATAAATAAAAATCAAAGACTTCTAAAGCAGAACAATGTTCAGGAGGCAAACTGGGAAGATCAGGAGATTCAATCTGCTTAACAAAGCAGATTGTACCATTCCTGTATTTTGTTCTTCCAATAAAACTGTGCTCACATACTCTCATTACAAGACATAGAAGTGATCTTGTGGGGACAGTAAGTACTGAAGCCATCATATCGTGCTTGCATTATGATGAATATACAGGAATTGACAGTTCCCTTCAATGAAACCTGTACTGTGAACCAAACGAGTACTGAGGGATGTGCTACGGTACTGCATATTCAGAACTGTATTTGGGCATATACTGTGTTTCCCTGAAAATAAGACAGAGTCATATATTAATTTTGGCTCCAAAAAACACATTAGGGCTTATTTTCAGGGGATGCTTTATTTTTTTCATGTACAACAATATGCATTTATTCAGATACAGTCATGTAATCTTCTGGTTGCTGCACAATGTTGCACAATTGTGGAGGGGAGGGTTTCACTTTGTTGTTGTTTAGTCATTAAGTCATGTTTGACTCTTTGTGACCCCATGGACCAGGGTTTCACTTAACTAGGGCTTATTTTTTGGGTACGGCTTATATTACAAACATCCTGAAAAATCATACTAGAGTTAATTTTCAGGTTAGGTCTTATTTTCAGGGAAACAAGGTATTAGTAATATTCTGAACTAAAATTTAGGGAAGAAATGCCTCACATCAATCAATGCACCTTAAAATGGGTCACCTCTTCAACCACATTCTAGGGAACTTGTGTCACATCTGAATTTAAGAGCTCAACTAGATTGGACCCAAAGCCTACCTAGTCCAGCATTCTGTTTCCCATAGAGGCCAACCACATGCTTAGAGGGAGCCAAGAAGCAAGATATAAGAGTAACAGCCTGGTCTGAATGTTGTACACAAGAACTTTACAAGACATATTGTCTCTGGTGCTAGTGATGTTGTATAGCTATCATGATTCGCAGCCTTCAGCCTTATCCTCAATTATGACATGCCACTGTAAAAAAAAAAGAATACTGCACTAGTTGGACAATTGACTTGATTCAACACAGCTTATTATGTTCATTTGATGGGCAATAAAGGTTACCAACTGCTGTGACATATCCTTGGGAATCTGGAAGCCGAGTTGTGGCAACTGGGCTTCTTTCTTGTTAGGTTGAAACATTTTGCTGCTCATACAAGTAGCTTCTTCTGTATGAGGAGAGTTGGTAGGAGATACCCGATATATCCACCACAGTTGGTTCCACTTCCACGAGTAGCTTCTTCTGTATGAGGCGAGTTGGTAGGAGATACCTGATATATCCACCACAGTTGGTTCCACTTCCCCCTTCTCTGAATAGGTTCCTTAGAAGGACAAAGTCCTTCTCCACCCATTGTCATGGGTTGTTAACAGTGGTCTTTCTGGTGGGTGTGGTCCTAATCTTTCTGGGGATGGAAGAAAGGGCAGCATGAGAAATAGGAGACAGATTGTATCTCAGGCCTCCACCCCTGTTGAGTGAGGGATTTTTTTATATGCACATGTATGGCCTCCCTGACCCCTTTCTCAAACCACCTATCATCTTGGTCCAAAATTAGTACATCTTGGTAATCAAATGAGTGCTTCAAATGAACAAACACTGCTGATTGTGGTCCTGAGCCATTGCCTCTCATGTGCTGTTCTCCTGTTTAGCAGCTGTTTGGTTTCTCCAAAGTAAAGCTCCGAACACTCCCCTTTCCATTGGATTGCATATATTATATCGCTCCTGTTGTGTTTTGGTGTCTTACCTTACCGCCTTACTGTATTTGTGGGTTTGAAGTATACTGGTATGTGGTACCTTACTGCCTTACTGTGTTTGTGGGTTTGAAGTATACTGGTATGTGGTGTCTTCTACCACAAATCCTTCTGAGCTTTTCAGAAACACCTGCCATGTAAAGAATGGTTTGAGAGCATACACATGCATATAGAAAGTCCCTCACTCAACAGGGGTGGAAGCTTTTATGTAGCCATGACCACCTGGTATGCTCACAAGCAATGAATAAAAATCACAACAGCTTCAAATGGAACCTCCAGAGACAGTATACAAGTAATTACTAGATCCTAAGGACAATGAACAGGGCAATGAATAAAAATCACAACAGCTTCGAATGGAACCTCCAGAGACAGTATAATTACTAGATCCTAAGGACAATGAACAGCAGTCAGCTCTTGCCTGCTCCAAAGGAATGAGAATATTACAATAATTTAAAATTGAAACCTCCCATATCTGATTCATAATTTCTTTCTTCTCAGCCTCTTGCACCAACTTTTTGCCAAACTCTGCCTGAAAGAATATGTAAGTGTTTGTAGGTTGACAGGTTTTTTTTTAAATGGAGGGACCTGAGATAAAATCACAACTCACCCCAGGATCTATAGACACATCATCAAGACATGATCCCAGTTTATAAAGCTGGAACAAGATATGCTGCTCTTCCTTTTACTAACAAATCTCTCCCCTGATACATAAAATCTGGAATACAATTAGTTCTATTAAAACACACCCTATACTCAAGCGCTGAAAAACGATCTGTCTGTTCCATCCTCCAGTACCCACAGAAAGTGTTTAGCAAACTGAGTAGAGATACACATCCATAACTCATCACACAGGTCAGATCGATGCCCCTTGGACGCCTTTCTGTCCACAAATATAGAGCCAAAAACATTCACAAGCTGGTGCTAAAGCTCTATAGCCAAGAAATACAGCTATGAAACATGAGCCAGTCCTGAGCTGAGGCTCAGGGACATCCAGACCAGTCCTATTATGGACAAACCAGTCCTATTATGGACAAATCTACAAAAGCCACAGCTTCCCCGCACTCCAAGCAACAAGCTACAGGTATTGTAGAGGCAAATGGCCCAGGGAGGGAAAAGCACATGAACAGAAGCTGCTTAATCCCAGCTCCAGCAGAAATCCTACACAGTTGCATCACAATGCTGACTGATCCCTGATGAGGTAGCGTGAGCCAGCCTTTCTAGCTCTTACCCTCTGACAAAGCAGAGAGAGAGAGAGAGAGAGAACAAGGCAATGATCTAAGTCATATCAACACGAAGAGCACCAAACACAGCCATATATGTCACTCCTCCTTATTCTAACATTTCCCCTGCTGCATGAGACCTGCAACACAGCCAGTGCTATTAACATGCTTCTTATGAAGTAGGGGATTTAAGTTAATATGCATAACCAAAACCTTTAGAAGTTCCTTCTACAATAGTCTAAAAGGTCTTGTAGTGTTTTCTGACACTGCCTCTCTATATGATATTGCAACTCATACTGGCACTCTGCTTTGAGGGATACTCCTTTTCTGTCATTGCATCATCATGTTGTAATCATGTTTTCCAGCATCTGGAAGGGCTTGCATTCTTTGCACTTAAAGCAGAGGTGGGGAATGTGAGTCTCCAGACACAATTGGGCTGCACCTCCCTTCAGACACAGCTAACAGAGTCAACAGCGTGATAAAGAAGGAGCTGCTGCCTAACAACATCTGGAGAGCCACATGTTCCTCAGCACTTCCTTAATAGATGCCGTGTATGTGTGATGCATGGTGCGAGAGCAGAAGGCACAAGGGACTAGAGGACTTCCAGCAGTTTGGGGTATGTGGGTTCTGGTGCCCTGCATGGCTCAGGCTTTTTTGTCCTGTGGCTACCAGAAGCAGAACTATGCAGTAACTGATCATATGCATGTGTGCACGAAGCAAAACAGAACTGACATTCTCCTTGCATGAGGCATTCGTGTGACAAAAAAGCTGTGCTTATTTATTTTCAAAGAATATACACAGCCATACTGCCAATGTATGTAAGCAGAGAAAAATTTCGCCGAGCCTATGAACAACAGACAAATAGGGGATTAAAAAAAATTAAACCCCAAGAACAAATGGGGATTTTTTAAAAAGGAAATGCACCTGATTTCTTTCCAGGAAAACCTCCTGCCTACAGACATGTCTCAAAAGTGGTGCAGGGCAACTTGAGGATTATGGAGTCATCACAGCTTGGTGTCACCATGACCACAACTGCATTGCGTAATTGATTGCCAGCAGCACCAGACAGACTAGGCTGGGCTTGTTTTATTACTGCTTTTCCTTCCCTGCTGCTCTCAATGTGTTTTTATGCTGTGATTTGTTCATATTTGATAGCAAAAGCAAACCCATCTGATTAGACTTGACTGTTACCATGTTGATACTAACAGACACACACATAAGATCCCTTTCTCTTCCATTTCCTAGCTCAAGCATAAATAAGTTCTTCTGTATTCCTCCCTGTAAGACAAATGAAGCCACAGGTGCAAATGGCCATGTGCATGACAATTAATTGCCCTTTCCAACACTTATCCAATTATCAGAGATGCTCCCTCCAGCTGGAGAATAATCAGCACATAATCCCCTTAGGAACAACCCCCACCTCCACCCTCTGACAGTTCAAAGCCATCCTATATGTGTGCTTGTGCACGCCTGTTAGCAGGCAATAACAAAGCACTAGGTCTACCAACCTGCTCATCAAATACTATTGATTCAATAAATACAAAGTACCTGAAACTGCTTGGGAAACAAAGTAGACCCCCAGATTCATAGCACTTTTAAAAACATGCAGCTACTGCAAGCTCATATGTACTGTACAGGTTTCATAAATGTGTGATATCTTTCTTTACAGGAATCTACAACAGTGCTGTAATTGAGACCTTTGCCAAAGGAGAGGGAGCTATAAATAAGTTTGCTGGGAAATGTGAATTTCTTAAGGCATGTCAGCTGGATCTCATAGGCCATTATCATCCAAATATTTATACTGACTACACATTTTGAAAAAACAACCATTCCTGGGACAAGGAGTTTCCATGCATCACCGCAATTTTCTTGTGTGCTTATCTCAAACTACACATTCAAGAAGTGGCAGAGTCACTAAGAAGTTGAAGTAAGACCAGATGACCCGTCTTTGGTTAAACTGACAATTGTATGAGAAAGCGAGGTCATGCAAGCCCCCTTCCAATACAAAACGTGCAAAGGAGGCCATATTAGGAGTGGTGGCACACTGATAGCCCTGCCATTGGTATACATAACCCCCTAAGTACTGCATTGATTGAATTTCTTTACCTTTACAGAAATTTTGTTCTGTATCCAAGTAGCCTCATTTTACTTGATTATCCTTTGATCTTCCTGCTTTGCATCAAAATCCATTGTGACTTCCAGATGATCCTGCTAGAGTCCTTTCCTGGTGGGAGACATTCTTCAGCATTCATTTATTTAGCAAGGTGTGCTGTTTTTGTTCTCCACAGCCTAGCCTTTTATGAATAAGACCCTTTCTTGCAACTCAGTGCTGGGACCTAATACCGTACCTGAAACCCCATATTGAGAAATGAGAGGCTCTGTATGTAAGCCTGAGAACTTTTCAAGAGACTGAATACCATAGTATTTATCCTGGGGTACCCAGGCAAGCATAGGGCAGAAAGTCAGCATCTTTTTTGTAACTTTCCATTCTCATTTTCTAAGCTAAATTTTTATCAGTAGAAGAGAGGAGGGAGTGACAACAGAAAGTAATATATATATTTGTTTAGTGGCATTATTGTGGGTTGTCTGTTCCAAACACATTGCTGATCGTTATTACTTTCTGTTGTCACTCCCTCCTCTCTTCTACTGATAAAAATTTAGCTTACCATATATATAAAGTGCAAATACTAAACCCAAATTATCTGTATGCAACACCACAGCTCAGGCCCCTTTGTCCATACATCACATGACTCCAATTTGGCACATCGGCCACAGGACACATTTCTCTTCCTCTCCATCACCAGTCTCTTACTGACAGCTCCTGTGCGTCTTTTCATTTACTATTCAGATCATGTGCTCTGGCTGCTCAGAAACCAATCTCATGCCCATTAGTCCTGCCTGCTGTGCAGCAGGGCACAACAGCCTGCCTAAAGAGCAGCACTGAAGGAATAAGCTACTAGCCCTGTTCCAATACAGAAAGGGTAAGCAAACACTTCTAAGCTACCTGCCTGGAAACCTGCTTTCCAAATTTCTTAGACATTACAGCTAGAATATATACAAGCCCGTTTACAGTACAAAATTGCCCCATGCAATTGTACCAATGGACATGTAATTTCATGCATAACAAAATTATTGGGGAAACTGGGCTCTATGAGATCATCTATCAGCCAACTCCAATGTTACGACTGTCCTTCTTTCAGTAGTTATGATTTGGACAAATGGCTGTGGGTTTATGGTGTGCATTCATTTTTAAACTGCCCTTCTTCATACAACTGTACAGTATATCTCCAAGCACAACTGATTGGTAGAATGTAGCATCATAAACTGGCTGAATTTCCTAGCTAGAAAACCCTAGTCATCTGCAAAGAGAGAGTTGAGTTACTCAGAGAAATCTTTGGCACCTAAGTAAGCTGCACACACCTTATTTTGTTCATCATATTCATATGCCACATTTTCTTCCGTAAGTTTAATGCAACATGCTCAGCTTTCTATTTTATACTCACAACAACCCAGTGCGGTTTGGTCATGCTGACTTACTGTCCCAAGACCACCCAGTTAGATTCATAGCTCAGTGAGGATGTCTCCCAAGTCTTAGAGCAAAACTGTAACCACCACAAGAACTGCTAGATAGCTTAATACAGTAGTTTAGGTCGCTAGCTGCAGAGCCAGAGGCTAGCAGTTTGATTCCCCACTGTGCCTCCTTGACAGTGGCTGGATTTGATTATCTATAAGGTCCATTCTAGCTCTGGAGTCTAAGATTATTGTTGTTATCATTATTTTGCTAACAGGAAAAAAATTGCAATCTGCATCATGCACAGGACTCCCTGACATTGTCAACATAAATGCATGAGAGAGTTTCCTAAATGTTCATATCATTTGCTACAAATAATTAGTTTAATAAAGAATACAGTGCATCCAAACAGTTGGCAATGAAGTACTGCTCTGGAAGAGTTTGATTTTATAAGAGAAAGATAACACCAGAGCCTGTTGATCTTAGGCTGGGAAAGTTGACAGAGATTTTTTTTAATAATGCCAAAAACAGCCAAGACAGTTGTCTGGCCCAGTTCCAACTAGGGTAATTCCAAGCTGCAGACACACTAACCTCCTGCTGTGATTGCAAGCGGATATCACATTCCTTTTGGCTTACTGCTCTTACCTCACACAGTTTAACTCTACAGCTCCAGTTTTTAGCAATTCTGTATGTACCAAGAGCTGGCTGATGTCCCTTAAAACAATCTTCTTGGTCAAGGATGGGGAAGTTTTGGTCTTCCATTCCCAGACACTCCAGATAGTATGGCAAATTATAAGGGACTATGGAAGTTGTAGTAAAAAACATCTGAAAGACTAAGGTTTACCAACCACTAGGCTTAGCGAGTGAATGCATCTGCTTTGTGAGCTTCACTACTGCTATATCAGTGAGCCCAAGCTATATTCATTGCTTCTTTGTTGATATACTTTGGTATTTATCTGCCATTTAATTATCATGCATAAATAAAAGGCTGTGAGATCTGGAGAGCATCATGGTAGAAGAGGAATGCTGACATATAAGACCCAGGACCTAATGCATATGAAACCTTTATTGATTTGACATCCATAAACATTCCTTCATTTTCATAAACTCTCTTCCAATAACCGTATGACAGCAAAACATAACATTAAATCTAAGACATGACTATACAACCACTTTGGTTTTTAGGAACAGCAAGGAGTATGATGCTTTCCAATTACTGAAAACAAACACAAGAGCCAATAAAGCAGGCAAAGCAGAGTGGACACAACATATTTTTGAAGGTGAAGTGAGTGAGAAGCAGCAAAGAGAAAAGTGGCCTGAGAAACAGTAGTGTTTTGGTCCAGAAAATAAGCAGAAACCAGTGATTTCTCTTCCAGCAATTAATTCACTAATACACATATTCTTTGTGACAAATTATAATCCATATCAAACTATAAAGCAATATCCTTCCTTTTGCATTCATGAAGATAAGCCATATAGACATCTAGGATAACTTCTCAAGGGCAACTTGCCTGCAGCAAGTTGTGGTTTGAAAGTGAAAAGATTAGCATGTGTGAAATCTTTTGACAGAAACAAAACACTGTTGGACTATTAATAGCCTACTGATATGCCTAGAGAGTAGGACTGGGATGTGCAAAATTGAGATCAACACCACTTTTCAAACATGAAGTTCATTGGAAGGCCCTGAGTTGAATCCCTTCTACTCATCCTAACCCACCTCAGATACTATTGAGTTTTCCACATTGCTGTGGTCAATCTGTTGCCTAAGGTTGGTTTCAGCAAAAATGTGACTCCTCTTGCTATTTCTAGACACAATTTGAAAGTCCGATTATGACCGATAAAGAAGTATATGACTTAAGAACAAGCTACACGAAATGCCCAATTCTAAGTTTGTTTTGTGTCTTATGATCTTTGAAGGAACTCTTTTCTTTGTTCTTAAACTTTTTTTATTATTATTGTTAGCTATTTGTTTTTATTTGAGTGATAACATTATTGGCCACTTTGAATGCCATTTTTGACACAAAGGTGAGATATAGACTCAACAGACAGTGAGACAGTTTTAAACTCTTTGGAGAAAAGGGTTAGTACAATAAATAATACAATCTATAAATGTCCTCACAGAAAGGCACTTACCTCCCTCAGCTTGTCCATCTCATTCTGCAGCACCTGCTTAGCCAACTCACTCTCAATGAGCCGCTGGCGCAAGTCCTCATTCTCCTCCTCCAGTTTAATCCGTTTTTTCTCCACTGCCTCAAGTTCATTATGGAGCCGCACAGAGACATCTTTGGCTACCTGTGGACACAGCAAGGGGCAGCATGAGACTAAGTCTCAAACCTGAAGTACGGTGTTCAGCTTCATCACCATCATTTCACACCAGTAGCAACACTGCGCTTGGGAATCTTCCGTTTCCAACAGGACAATACATCCCACCCAGAAAACCTCTGCTCAAAAACAGTCCTCAGCTCCAGGCACTAACAGTAGCCTCCCTAATTTAGGGAGGTAAAAACACTTCCTTAATTCAGACAGCATAGACAATCTATCATCCTCTGGATCTGGTTGGACTGCAATTCCCATATTCTTCACCACTGGCTACCCTGGCTAGGACACATGGAAGCTGCAGTACAGCAAGATGTAGTGGGTCTCATATATTCTGCCTCAGGTTCAGAAAGAGTGAGCTGTTCTTCCAAAATATGCATTGACATCCCACACTGTTAATGAAGAACCCATGTCTGTTTTGAAGCTTGACTGAGCAAAAATTAGACAATGTTCTACAAGTAGATCTCTAGATTACTTGCAGTAGATCAAACTAGGATTTCTGATTTACTACCTTTTTATCAATAACAACCTAAAGGCTCTCAAGCTCACCTTAAATAAGGCTGCTGAAACAAATGAAATTGGGAAGAGAATTTGTAAAAATAATTTTCAGATTGCATTTGTCTTCAAAAATTGGAGAATGAGAGATCTGCTCTTGTATCAAAATCCTGAGCACAGCATGCTTTCAGAGGCACCTTTTGCCCTTCTTCAATGTGCACATGCATGTGGGTGATCACGGAACAAAGGAAGGCTAATTGCCTTAGAGACAAAACAAAGGAGTCGACAGCGGATGTCCGAGCCAGCAGAGCCAACTGGCAACACCCTGAGAGCTCTTTTATTTACTTAGCATGATTACATAGTATGTTATGAGAGAAACAGATAGGATACCAGTTACCTAACTGTAACTAGGATTGGCTAAAATAACCCTTTGATCTTATGCTCTACCTCTAAGCAAAAGGGCAGAATAAGGGGTAACCCCACCTGCTGGCAGCTGCTGCTTTCTGCCAGAAGTGTATGTACGTCACTGGAACAGAATGCAGCTACAACTTTTAAGCAGAAGTTTCCCACTCATGTGCATATCTGCCCAAATGCAAAAGTGTGGCACCATTTCCTGCTCTTATGTATATAGCTTTTATTTTAAAAAGGAGATCCCACAAACCTGAACTTTGCTTAGCTCTGCCTTATAGCATACAATTCACTTGTTTCATTTCTAAAATGCCTGAATTGTGTTTTGCTTTAACATGTATACTCAGCTATATAACTGGAAACGTTATCTATATAGCTTGTTTAATTTTTAAAAGATGAGAAAGTCTCTGACCTTGCAATCTAAAAAAAAAGACATCACACAAAAGGAAACAATAATGGAAAGGGAAAAGAAATACACTGCTTTGAGTTACACTGACACAATCATGTCCAAGATATAAAAAATTGGCCAGGATTCTATTAGCAATATATACTTCTGTTAAGGGAAATAATGCACATCTTGGTAGCAAATTGGTGCTCATTAATGAATGATGGTTGTATTTCTAGGCAGGAATGTGATTTGCCACCAACACTTATGCAATTTCTCTTACACAAACAATAGCATTCTGGCCATGGTCAAGTAATAAATTTACAGATTCCATGAGACACTTCTCATCCAATAATACTGTGCAACATCTCCTGTGGATAAATTTGCGTCCTGAACTTTGCAAGTAACATAGTGGCTTTGTATGTTTTAACAAGAAACTAGCACTGAAAGCAGAAACACAATAAGTCACACTTCGGGACTAATGTGCAAAAGTGTGATGAACATCCTTGGTTGGAGAGTATGTGATCTGTGCCTACAGGGAATATACATATCACTGTATTTGTACAAAAAAGCAGACAAATGCAGAAAAGAACAAGTTCTTTCCACATTCACTTCATTTCCAATTCGGAGAGTATGTGATCGGTGCCTACAGGGAATATACACATCACTGTATTTGTACAAAAAAAGCAGACAAATGCAGAAAAGAACGTGTTCTTTCCACATTCACTTCATTTCCAATTGCTTGTTGTAAATATGAGTATTGAGTGCCTCTCAATATTTCAGGGTTTTTTTTTCTTTTATGCTGCAATGCACAGTAAAAAAAAATAAGAGCTTTTGCAAACCAGACCCACAGTGGTACTTTGAACACCAGTTTCTCTGGGTATAGGAGAGAAAATAACTGTCATAAACAAGAGAGGTTCACTCATGGCACCAGTGGGTTTTAGATATGTACATCAGAAGGTTTCAGAAATATCTCTGAATATGTATTATAGGCACTCCAGATGTAAATGCCTCCCATCAATACATCAAAATATACTGAAGTCATGTCCTGTTATTTTTTTCAGAATCTGCAACAGAAAGGGAAGCAAGCTCGTGGTGATACATTATTCTCCAAGGGTTTTCTTCCATGAATAAGAACAGAAGAGTCCCCTACACACACCACTTGAATTAAAGATCATTGGTCAAAGATTAAAGGACGCGCCTTAGACAAACTCCTAACAAATTCACAAATCCTGGCATTAGGAACAGAGGAAGTTGCCTCATACTATTGAGTCAGACCACTACTGGTCCATCTGCCTGGTATTATCAGCAGAGCCTCTCCAGGATTTCAGGAAAGATTATTTCCTAGCCCTCTCTGGAGATCTCTGGCATTTCTCTGATGGCCTCCCATCTAAGAATTAACCAGGGTTGATCCTGCTCAGCTTCCAAAATGAGACAAGATAGTGAAGCTGGTGTGATGTAACAGTTCAATAAGCAGCCTAGAGATTTTGGTAGCACCAGCTGCTGCCGTAACAGAAATCACTAAGGATATTAAAAACCAAAATTCTCCATCATGAGCAGAGAAAACTCCCAACAAGTTTTGGAAACAGCATTCAGACATTTTGTGTACCATAAATATGGCAAGGAAGCACATGTTCCCAGGGCAGGTTCCTCAGCCTTGGTGGTCTCTAGATGTGTAAGATTATAACTCTTTTTACCCAGAATGGCCAGCCAGGCTAGCTGAGGAAGATAGGTTTTATAACTCAACCCATCTAGACATCACCAAGTTAAGGAATACGAAAGTGGCATTGTTGAGCAGCCTAAACTGAACCTCCAGCTTTTCAACACTCAGAATCTTGCTTCAACTCTCACTGTCAGAAGAAATTTTCAGAAATGGGGCACAGCAATGCTTTTCTTTCTGTTCAGTGGAGTATGCAGCACTGAATAAGAGGCTTCTCCTTTAACCCCGGAGGTGCTGGCTGAAATCCTGTTCCTTCATTATGCAAGCAGAAGGCAAATGACATAACATTTACACTCCTCCAACTGGCAATTAAAGGGTCCCCGCTGGGTTTCTCAAGACCACACCAAGCCAGGCATGTGATGGAAAAATCCATATGTGTTGACACTTACAGTATTCTGTCCATAATTTCTTATTAATCTTGTTATTTAATGTTAATGATGGAAACTGCAGAACTGATCATCATCCTTACTTGCCCTTAGGGATGAAGTAGAAAGGAGTCTTTCCACAACAGACTCAATTCTAAAACTATGTACACCTGTATGGACAACTATTGCACACAGTATCGTTGTATGGCAGGTACTGTTTTGTTCTCCAGGACACTAGTCACTTGCGTATCAGGCAAAAATAAAAAAATAAAAAAAAATAAAGAAAACATTGTGGCACCTTAAAGACTAACCACTATATTTCCATGTGAGTTTAGTGAACAGAGGGACGTGGTGGCACGAGGGTCGTGGTGGCGCTGTAGGCTAAACCACAGAAGCCGGTGCTGCAGGGTCAGAAGATCAGCAGTCATAAGATCGAATCCACGCGACGGAGTGAGCTCCTGTCACTTGTCCCAGCTCCCGCCAACCTAGTGGTTCGAACGCATGCAAAAATGCGAGTAGATAAATAGGGACTACCACGGTGGGAAGGTAACAGCGTTCCGTGTCTAAGTCGCACTGGCCATGTGACCACGGAAGATTGTCTTCGGACAAAACGCTGGCTCTATGGCTTGGAAACGGGGATGAGCACCGCCCCCTAGAGTCGAACGCGACTGGACAAAAATTGTCAAAGGGAACCTTTACCTTAGTGAACAAATCCTCAGAAATGTTTTTTTCTCCTTTATTATTATTTTCTTTTCTTTCTTTGCCTGATATGCTAGCAAAGACTAACACACAACTAAAACTACTAGATGGACTTGGTGTTTCTCCCTTCCTGGGATTCTAGTATAATTGCAAAGACAGGGAAGGCAGTCACTAAACTTAAATCCAGGATGATGCCTTCAGAGGATGTAGGCTCATTTGCCACCTTTTTGGAAAAGTACCCTTGGCATGGGTCTTCAACCACAACAGATGTGAAGATCAAAGTTGGAAGCAAACTAGTGTATTTCCAAAGTAACTGTGATGGAGGAGACAGGCTGGAAAAGAAAGCACACGATGGTGGAATATGGAAAGGAGAAACACACAATAACCCAGGATGTAGCTGATAGTAACAAAAGAGATTGCCCTGTGCTTCTCCTTTTGCATTTACTTATACAAATCCCCACTTGTGTCCTGACTATACCGTTTCCCCACAAATAAGATGTAACGTGAAAATAAGTGCTAATATGATTTTTAAGGACACTTGTAATATAAGCTCTACTCCCAAAATAAGCCCCAGTTAAGTGAAACCCCACCTCCACCATTGTGCAGCAACCAGAAAAAGATATGACTTTATTTGAACAAATGTAAATTGTTGTACATAAAAAAAATATCCCCTGAAAATTAAGCCCTAATGCATTTTGGAGCAAAAATTAATATTAATTAAAATATTTTAATATATTTAATATATTAAAATATATTTAATAATTAAAATAATTTAAATTAATTTTTTAATATTTTAATTCCCTGTCTTACTTTCAGGGAAACACGGTAGGAACCGAAAACTGAGTTAGCAAAGGTCAAGTAGCACCATAGCTACTCAGAATCACCTTAGCTTGAAGCTCGAGGA